TCTAACACTATATATATATATATATATATATATATATATATATATATATATATATATATATATATATATATATATATATATATATATATATATGTGTGTGTGTGTGTATATATGTATATATATATATATATATATATATATATATATATATATATATATATATATATATATATATATATATATATATATATGTGTGTGTGTGTTTGTGTTTGTTCAGCTACTCAGTACTCTTATAATCAGTTAGTGACCTCGTCCACTATTGGACCTATTGAGTAGAAAAAGTTAACCACTCAGCTTTTGTTTGTTAGCGCTTTAAAAAAAAATTCTTTCCACCGTGGGACCTGACTATCGAGTGTGTTGTTTTATTTCTTCAACTGCCCAGCTTTGAAAAAAAAGAAACCCTCAGGAAATCGCAATCAGTCGTGCGTGAAAACAATGATAGATAATTAGTGTTGAATAGTGAATAGTCCTCTATTGATAATTTCGCCTGAGGAGAATTAGGGGCGTAAATAAAGTAGGAGGAATGTGAGGCAGGTCGTTACTTTGAATAGGCTGAAAACACCAGATCAGGTGTAAGAGTTTCAGATCCTCAACTTATTATGTTCACTTAGTTTATGGTGTATTGTTATTTAGCGAGAAATTATTTCATTTTTAGCGCAATTTCCATTCTGGAGAATTGCGTTTATTAACTCGTCATTTCTGGGAATGGATGGATGGATGGATGAATGAATGTATGGATGTGTGTCCGGGCTTTAAGTCGTATCTCCTCCTCAACGAAGCAATATCGATGACTAGTTCCAAAAGCAATTATGTTAAGCAAGTTACGAGAATGAGCATAGGCCATAAAAATTCCGGGTTTCTTTCATGTATTTCCCGGAAAAGCCAAAAAACCTCGAAAAAATGCACTTTTTGGCCCATATCTCGGCAACCAGACCACTTAGCGACTTGAAACATGTACCAATCGATTCCTGCCATAATTTAGAACAATATTGCCAAAGAAAGTTTTCAAAAATATCCTCTCGTTCGGTCACAAATTTTAAAATTACATAAACACCTACAAACCGATCGTTCTTCTTAGCTTGAACGCACCCCGACATTATACGTCAGAGCTATTTTTAGATAACATAAGGAAATTGCGCATAAATGTCACTAGACTTTTTTAATTAACTTGTTTGTTTTGCTTTTGTAACTTTAAAAAAAAGAATTCTTGCTTTTAAAAAATGTCAGGTTATATATAAATTGTGGGGCATCTACTGTTTGTTTGTCAAAAGTAGGCTATGCTCTATTAGTAAACTATAATTTTATACCCGCTTTTATTTATAAAAATCATATTGACAAATATAAATAATAAAAGCTGGCTGAAGTCTTCCAACCCATCACACTACTAGCGGACTAGCGATCCATAGGTACACGTGTTAAGGTCTATTTTGTCTAATGTTAAGTGGATTGGCGTGTCATTACCACTACGTTGATGGCAGCGGTGCTTCAACTGAAGGGTGAACACGTGTTGCCTTAGCGTATGCCGTTGTTGTGCATCGTATACTAATATACCAACCATCATTTTCATATATATTTTTAGTTGAAAGGTGGTTGGGGGGGGGGGATCAAGTGCTACGTCACGGTTTGTCATTTTTAAAAGTAATGTTTGAAACTGAACATTATAAGTTAGGCCTACTTAAAAAAAAAGTATGTATTTTTAAAAATTATAATAAAATGTATCAGTACCTGATGTCGCCCCAGCCCACCACGTTAAGAAGACAAAAAAATTATCGTTGTTAAAAAAAAAGGCAACTGAGTGAGAGGCTAGTGCTGAAATGTGACGTCATTTTAAGGGAATGGGTATCTGACGTGTTTTTACTGTGGGGGAGGGCGGGAGGTGGAAAACATTTGTGTTTGGTCCATTCTTACACGCGCGTAGTGACAAAAACCATGTGTTAATTTGCTTTTTATTATTTTACTCAGTAAGTGTTGAAAAAAAAAATATTCGACACGTTCTGATCTGTTCCTTCAATAATGGTAAGCCATTCTTACCAGTTAATTGCTCCTACGCCATCAGCGTGTGACATTCATCTTGCCCGTTACATGCCTCTCCTCGCTACTCGTGCACCCACGATAAAAATTCACGTGGGCCAAGAAAGGGAGAGGACATGGAGCCCATGACTCGCGACAAGAATTCTCGCTTGTATCATGGTGTGAACACGGCTATCGTCCTGCGCTGTTTTATGTCACCTTTACAGGGTTTTTTTATTAAGTTTTTCTATTGTGGGATGTATATTGTGATTTAATTCAAAATTAATTCAAAAACTTGGATAACGGAATTCACGACAAAGTGCACTTTATTCAGTCTTATTACCTGCCATTTCTATACAGTTTTTAAAAGTTCCTCATGATGGACTTTTATCGTATGTGTATGTGTGTATGTATGTATGTATATATGTATGTATGTGTATATATATATACATATATATATATATATATATATATATATATATATATATATATATATATATATATATATATATATATATATATATATATATATATATATATATATATATACACACACACACTCACAAGTATGGTTTATTGAGGTTTATACTGAATCCATTTCTTTATAGTTTTTGTATTGGAATTAATTGGTGATATGATGGGTACCTTTTTAAAAAAAACTGCCGTCAGTTGGATTTTTCTTTCAAGTTTTTGTACATTCAATGCACTGAGTAATCTTGGCATATATGTTGTTTAAAACTGTTTTGTCAGCAAGATAATTACCTTTAATAGGATAAAATTGACTATACAATATTGTGTGTGTATGACTGCATAAGTGAGATCCTTATAACTAGTTATTCAATTCTTGCAAATGGCTATTTAAATTAAGACAGAAATTCATTTTTAACTGTATTCAAAATTTTAATTATATTAAGTTGTACCACAGAATGTTAAAATGAATGCATTTCTCCACCTTCCTCTCCCTTTCCCATATATACCCACTTCAGTTCACTACTAATGAGAAATTTGAATCCTAACTAATTAGGATCTAAATTTGTTGTTTGCTTGTTGCAAGCTTAATGAAACTAAATGGTAATTGTACACTTTATTTAATAAGTATTTTGTAAAATCCAGTTTTATCAAAGCTGATAATCTATATTATTTCTAGCTATTCAGGTAACATCTTTTCTAATTTTGTGTTAGATTTTAAGTAATTTAAGCAAATTAGTAAGTTAACTATTTTAATTAAAAGATGAGAGTAACAACAGTTTTAGGTTAAAAAAAAATTAAGTATGTTTTGGTTGTGGAGTTGAGATTACAGTAGTTCAACACATACTATTTGCTGTAGATGAAATTCTTATGGCTTTTGTAATTACACAGTTTGTAGACTACCTTTTCCCCCCTTTTTCCAAAAGCTGATCTTATCATAAAAGAAAATGTTCTTTTTCTTGTAAGTTTTCTTTTAAGAATATTTAAATTGGTGTCACTTATCTACTTGCACCTCTTAGCTAGGTCTGTACACACTAATGATGCTAAAGAAGTCGTGAAACTTGTTGGCATTTGGATATTGAATCAATATTACATATTTTTTTTCTCTTTTAATGAGCACTGGCAGCCATTCTTTCATTCTTTTTACATCAAATAGCTTCAAGCCTGTTGTAGGATACATTGTTATTTTTTAAAAAGGATTTGGAAGTTGTATTCTGGCTATTTATTTACTTAGGAAAAAAAATTAAGGCGATTCAGTATTTTGTGCATAATCAAAGAAGCTAATTTTATAAAATGCCAATTAGATGTGAACAATATTTTTTTTTTTATTTACCCAGCAGTTATTAAATTAAACAAAGCAATTAACATTACAAAATAAAAATTGACCTTGTGATTAAAAAAAAAAATAAGGTTAATGTGCCAGACATTAAATTGTGTACATTTATTTTGAACTTGACACTAATATACTTGAGCTGCAATGGATAAACCAGACCTAGGAAAAGACATTCTGGTCTTAAGAAAGCTTTCAGAAATACCTACAAGAAACTCAACACTTACATGCTGCCATTGTAGCTGTTCCACCAGGCGCAGCAACTCACATTACCAAGCTCACTCAAATAACCGTCCTTCAGCTAGAACAAATAAGCAGACTTTTGTTTTTGACTATTTTTATGAGCAGCTGTATTGTAGAAAAAAGGATCATACCAACACTTGTGCTGAGTGTGGTCAAGCTTATGAAGAGGACCCTAAGTCGTTTTATATGGGAGGTGTGTTCAATGATAGGACTAATGCTTCAAGAGTTGGTGGGACAAATTTTACTCACTTACGCTGCTCAAATTGCCAGTCATGTCTGAGAAGAAACTTGGTGACTCAAGTAAAAACAGACACTAACTGTCCTGAGGAGGCTCTGCTTAATTTATTCCATTCTGATTCTAACAATGTCAGCACAAAAAAGGAGATGTGTATAGAAGATCATCTTTCATGTATAGGCTTGCCTCTTGGTATTTTCCAGATATATTTGTAAGTTTGCTAGATGGTGAAATATCCCACTTATCATTTTATCATTTTTTAATGAAAAATATTCATTACCATCAATGACTTCGTATCCATTGGCGTGTTATATTTAGCTTTCCCTAGCAATCCCATTCGTATTTTTGTTGTATTACAATTATTTATGATGGAATTTCCATCTTGGGTATATCTATATTGATATTACACTTTTGATGATTATTACTAAGATCATGAGAAAAGTGTAATCTTCTCTGTATCATTCTGAAACAATAATTCAGTTTGATAAGTAATATATTTACCATTGCTTTAACTTTTGAATATACTTAATATAAATTTTATATTATGTTTGCAACTACTTAAAATAGTTGCTATTATTTCTAAAACTTGCATTTGGTTGAAAATAATATTGCATGGTTTAGAAAAGCGTATTTTGTATGTTGAGCATTTTATTTTATTTTAGTGGATACTAAAGCAGATCACTTGATGATGCTCTACTGAATGTTTTCTTTCAGAGCCAAAGAAACACATCAACTGGCTGAGGCTAATCAGGAAAAGAATGCTCGTCTTAAAGAGGCTTTTGGTCTCACAGATTATGTGGAAGGTAGCGCCTTTGATCCTGATAGAAAAGCTAAAGAAGAAGCAGCTAAGGCAGCAGCAATGGCACAGAAAAAATATACGTAAGTGGTGTTGAAATGACATTATTATCGTACCCAATTAGTCATTGCAAAAAAAAAATTACCTTAGAAATATAGATTTATTCAGATTATTTTCTAATCTACCATTCATTGATGGAAGATCTTTTATTTTTGAATGAGTTTTAAGTGTAAAATGACTATATTGTGGTATTTTGTAAACCATATTTAAAGTATGTGTTTTGTGCTTTAGCAGCTTGCCATGCCTCTACTAATAAATATTTAATTACAGAGTTGTTCAAAGCTCTGATGAAGAAGGAAAGGAAGAGGCTTCATCTCCTCACAGCAAGAAAAAAAAGAAGCGATCAAGGTATATTTTATGTAATTAAATGTTAACTTAATGTTTCACATCCTTCATCATTTCCACTCACTACTTGTAACATATGGACCCTAAAAAAACCTCACTTTGATGGCATTTTTATACTCATAGGAACTCATAAGGGAAATAGTAATTGTGATTATTTTTTAATATCCATGAAATATTTTTTGGTTGAAAAAAAAATAATAAACTAACTAAGGTTGCTGCATTTTATTGTTAAAACGTTGTATATATAAGTTTTCATAAGATAACTATTATCCTGGTCATTTAATTGTTGAGTTTTTTTTTTTTATTTTTGTCCAGAGCATTATAGATTACTATGTATAAGAAAACCAATATTTTTGGTACTGTCGTTTATTGCCCCTATATTTATAAAACACTTATTGGCTTGATTATAGACGTGTCCAATTTTCACACATCACTCTGTTAAAAGGATCATTTTGGGTAGCACAATCAATAAGGACCCCTGAATTTCTGTAATGCAATAACAGCAATGTCATGCTTTCATTCTGTACACTGTGTTCTTCATTATTCATTGCATTAGGAAGCATATAGATATAGGTCAATAACTCCCAGTGGCATTGAGGAAGGCATCTGCTCTCATTTGTTCTAGTTACATCAGGATAGGTTCCCCTCACACGCCTTGTTTTTGCTTCATGAAATATTAATAGCAGTGTCCGCCATAATATTCACAATGGGTTAACGTTAGAAAGTACATATTTAGGTTCAAGAATTTAATTGTAACATGGTTAAGGGTCTTTTTTTAAAAGTTGTTCAGTTCGTAACAAAAATAGTGGCAATATATGCTTTTTTGTGCAAGTATGTATAAGTCATTCTAGATTACACTCAATTATGATACATTTCTTTCTCATTTTTATGCTTCAAAACCTCAGCATGTATGTTATCTAGGTAAGATATCTAAATTTAATGGGTTCCATTTTAATTAATAAAAAGTCCCAACTGGTGAATTATTTTTCTTCTAAAATAAATGTCTCCTGTCAGTTACATAACAGGTAACTTTCTTTTAATCTTATTCTCTAAAGTATTTAAAATTAAATTTTTGTTTACACTTTTATTAACAGTAGATGTTTAGTATTCAACAGTTTTTTTTAAACCACTATGTAAATTAGTATAATAATATTATGTTTAGTTATAATAAAATGGACAACATCTCTTTCAAGCTGTTTAAATAACACAAGTTTAGTTGCTTAGTTTTATTGCAACAAAAGAACATTGAGATAACACTTTAGTTTCTTAAAATTATTATTATTCATTGGTCACCTATCTTTTTGTTAAACATCATGGCTACAGGTGAGTCTTAAGGTTTCAATGTTTATAAACCATTGAATAGTCTTTGCAGTTTCTAACCCACTTAATGAAAAATGTAATTCCAAATGTCTTGATGGATAGTTATAATTCATTTCTTAAAATACACAAGTTAAACAGTTATGAAGATTTTAAGTTTACTAACAAGGTACACTAAATTATGGGATAGTTAATGCTATGAAAAACAATAAATTTGTGTGTTTATTTGGTAAAATACTGAATAGAATAATTAATAGATACAATCTGGTTGTATTGTAGAAGCATTCACTGGTACAAGTATATTTCGTAGGGTGCCTTATATTTTTTAATGCCAATATTATTTTTTTCATTGAATTTCATACTGTCTAAAAATGGTATGTATTTTTAAATGGCCTATGTGTTTTCATTAAGTGATACATTTTTATTCTTAACTGTTGAATCTATTATGATTTTCCACAATTATGTATAGAATATAATGTATTGAACATTTTTGTTTTCAGACATAGCAGTGGATCACCAGATGGTAATAAAGAGAAAAGAAAAAAGAGTAGAAAACACAGCAAAAGAGATCGGTAGGTGTTGGACGTGCATGTACTTTCACTTTCATGGCTAAGGCTCACTGTTGCAGTTTATGCTGTAGTTCCATTTTTATCTATGATTTTCAAGATTATTTCACCCAAAAAAAAAGTCTTTAATCTTAGATACTTCCCTTTATTGTGTTGTAACTATTCATTTTGTGTTTAGCACTCAGTTAAACTCGTTGCTATTAAAATTAAGCTTTTTGATCACTCATTGCTTTTTCATTAATGTTATGTTTTTTGTTATGTGTTACGCAATTATAAAAATATATAAGCCATACTAGTTTATATATATTTATATATATATATGTATATATATGTATATATATGTGTATATATATATATATATATATATATATATGTGTGTATATATATATATATATATATATATATATATATATATATATATATATATATATATATATATATATATATATATATATATATATATATATATATATATATTACCCTTGCATGATAATGTTTAAAATGGGTGTAAATTTGTCTTTTCATTTAGTTGCTTTATTACCCCTTGATTGGATATCATAAATGTGTCATTCTGTCATATTTTAGTTTGATTTTGATTAAGGGTTGTTATTTTTTTTTAAACCATTTGTTTTATCTTTGCTACAGACAGCTTCAGTATTATTTTTATAAAACACTTGCAATTTGTTTTCAAACAAGCCACTGTTAACCTAATTGCTTTTTTAATTGTTGCAAGCATGAAATCCTCTTTTGGAAAAGCTCAGATATTAAAATAATTAACAGTAGTAGACTCCTCTGACTTAAGTTTGAAATCTATTTTTTATTTAAAATTCTAAGTTAATCATAACTTGCTGACCCATTTTTTTTTTCATTTTTGAAACAATTAACAAAATGGTATGCACATTTTACTAAGTAAAATAACTTAAGTAAAATTTGACAATTGCAATATTTTTTAATTGACTATAACTTTTTTGTTAAATCTTTTGATGATTATTTTTTTTTCTTTCTGCTATCTACTAATAAAAACTACAATGAATCAAATATAAACTCCTTTATACAGCTCAATTAAAATCTGAAATTCGTACCGTATTAAATAAAGTTCAGGGGCTTGTAGGGTGAACACACCAGTATCAAATTTTTTGCACTGCAGTCCCCTGCTTATTTTTTAAATTTGTTAATTTGCAAAATACATTGTTGTAGTTTTTAAAGAACTGTATGAAAGAATATAAAATAGAAAAGTTGAATTAATGGTCTAAAATTAAAAAGATCAATAGATTATAAACTCTTTAAGTATTAGGCTGGAGAAGAGTGCAAATCAATTTTTTTTTTTTTATTAAAAAGTACAAAGATCATGCAATTGGTTAGCTTCTAAATTAAACCTAATAAACCTAAAACATTTAACATTTGCGTACTAAACCCATAAATCAGTAACAACATCAAATTGAAAGTGTAAAAGTTGGCTATTTGTTGAATTAGAATATATTGTTAAAGATGGCCTGTAATCTAAACCAAACTTTAAGCATCAGATTCCACTGTATTTCCAGATGCTCAGTAGTAGCCTATACATATAAAAGTTAACTTTTGGTAGTTTATAAAGATCAATTCACGTTAATAATAAGTTTTGTAATGTAAGACTAGTTTAGTGACACGTTGTTTATTCAATGAAGGCTACAAATTAGAACTCCTGCCCCTATCAAATTTCTATTCATTTACTAATTACCAGCTATAGAACCTCCTTGTTTACAGCATCCCACATTTCCTTGAGTAATGCAATTGCAAATTTTCCTGTAGTTTGCATCTGAAACCTTTTGTTCTTTTTTTTTTTCTCACAGCCCTCAGTAAGCGGAACATATGTATGTGTTTTTTACTTTGTCTAGTTTACCCATTGTCATACAACACAACCATTAAGTAATATGGATGTATTAATATTTGATGTAGGTTTCTAAATAATGTTGCATTTAAAACTTTTACATGCTGCCTGATTAAGTTGTTTCACCCATTGCCTACTCTGATAAAAATTATTTCAAACCAATTTTAAGATCAGATTAATTTTGCGTTTAGTTGTGTTTTTTTTTTTAAATTAAAATTATTTTCTTGATTTCTACTTATAATTTTAGAAGTTATTTCTACGTGTGAAATAAAATATTTTCATCTTAGAAAGTCTAAATTTATAATGTATATTTACACACTTCAGTATGTCAGTTTTGTAGCAATTTTTCTTTAAGTTAAAAGGGTGATTTCTCATGTTTGGTTTATTTCAAGATGTTTTTTAAATTGATATTTAAATAAGTTGCACAGATTTATTTTCTTCTTGTGACTTGATAAAACTATCATTCATAAGATTTTAACATGTGTTAGTCAATTATGTATAATGTAAATAAAAATCAGTTTTTAAAAATTGATGCAGCATTTTTAAATTATTTTATTTACTTGTGTGTGTCACTAATGGTTATTTTATTTTGCCTGGTAAGGCATAATACTAACTTGATTAGTAGCTTGCACTTCAGGCATAATTCTTGCACAGACCAACACCTGAGTTGGTTTCTGTTCATATTGAAAAACTTACTCTTCAAGCTCAAATACAATAAAGACTCTTACTCATTTTCTCGTGGGTGAGAGTTTAGTACTATTTCTTTCTTTTATTATAAAAACAATCATTTGGAAAATATGCTCTTCCTGTCAATGTTTTGCTATTAAAATGTATCAGTTTGAAATGTGAAAAAAAAGGCTTCAAATGCTGTTGCTATAATTAAGATGGCTAATAAATTTTTTTTAAATTGTAATTGATTAGTTACAATCAAATGTCTTTTATTTATAGTCAGCTCTGAGCTCTCTCCGTTTTATATTTAATACATTCCCTGCTTTTCTAGATGCAGACTTGTCTGATCTAAGCAAGAAATTATCAATATGAATACTAATTGTCCTTGAATCAAAACAAGGAAGTAGTTTCACAAAACAAACAAGCTTTTTAATAATACTATGCGCTTTACCTTTTAAAATATTACGGGATGATGTAAACTATTAAATATTCTTGCTAGGTTGTTTTATTGTATTAGTTTTGGTTTTGTTTACTAATATTTTTTCCTTTTATTACTCCATGCACAAATTACTTGCATGGTTTCATCACACAAGTTGATGTATATTGGTGAATTTTGTTTTTTTAAATTCGATTCCTAATTTTTGTTTTAGCCCATGTTTATAAAAGCAATAGGGCCAAGAAATTTTGCACATCCCTCTACATTTTAAATCTTTCCCAATTGGTGTAGCAATAAATCTCTGTATCGTGGTTGACTCATCTTAGTTTTTGCTACACAGGAAGAGATATGAGCATCACTAAATTTACGATCATTAAAGTAATGTCTGTCAATAATTTGCTCATGCTGAAACTTCAAAATTTGAAACCTAATAATTTATATGTAATCCAGAAAGATTAGTTTGCTTCTATCTGCTGCTCCAGTTTTGTGTTGTTGCTAAAAACAGGTTGAGTCTACTGTAGGTTTTATGTTGCCCAACCTATTTAAATGTGTTCATTTTATGTTATGCTTGATATTTTTTCTTGGGGTTTTTATTTATTGACAGATAATCTTCACTTGGTAACAGGTAATGAAAAAAAAGTATCAACAGTTGTTTCTTCTCATCATTATTTCCCCCAAGATAATTTTAAAAATCTGCATTCATCCAAGACAATAGTCATTTTCATATTTAAGATGGTTGCTATGATACATTTTTCTTGTGGAGGAATATCGAAAAAATTAAACTGTCTGGAAGAAACAATGCTATAATAACAGATACATTGTAGGAAGATAGTTTACCACTCATACATTGGCACGCTTTTTTAAAAAACAATAGTTGAAAAACACCTTAAAACTAGCTGTAATTTTAAATTGGCGTAAAGTTCTCAATAAAATTAAAAGAAAAAAAATTAAAATGTGTTTCTAGTTACAGTCTAGTCTCTCTCTGAGTTGATGCTAGATTTTTTTTTTCAACAACAGTGCTTTATTTCCCTTTTTTTTTTTAATTTTAAAGGAAAAAAACAGTTCTTTCAACCAAAATACCTATGAATTATTCCCAAATTAACACATAGTTAACTAAGTTGTTTTAGTTATGTCTTTGGCAAATTCAGTATTTCAAAGTAAGTAACACTACTAATTTGCTTTCATTTATATAGTCTACTACTCTATACTAAAATAATTACAATTGCTAATACTCTAATACTTTTACTGTGGGCAATGAATAGGCTGTGGGCTTGTCACTAATCTTTTATCTCAACTATTTATACTCTGCGGCTGTTGTGTCTTTTTACTAAAACCCACTTTAATTAGTCATAGCTATTTTTCTTTCACTCACCTTTACATCCACTTTGTTGTTTTTTTTAGAGATCACCATTGTTATCTTTTATTTTTGTTTTATTGCATCTTAATATATATTAACAGTGATGAAAGTTTGATAATTTATAGGCATTGATTGCTAATTTATATGGCTATTTTTTAAATTCATTTCAAAATATTTCAGTCATACATCAGCAATTTATTTATCCACTATATTCTAGTGTTCTATTATTAAATACTTGCTTTAATTACCTAAACTCAACACTACTTGATTAAGGGGGTAGGCTCTGGTAAAAAAACTTTTGGATCCGGTAAAAACACTAAATTTTAAGGAATTTGGGGGCATTAAATCTATTGTTTGTGTCAGACCCACTGTTTAAAAATTCATAAGAAATTAGTTTTAAGAGCTGCACTTAAAATTTTTAGCTGAGTACCCCAAAATACGTTAGAAGATTATGAATTGTTTATTGGACTTAAAATGTAATATTTATGAATGGTGGAAACCCTGCAAAGAGGTTAATTTTTCAATATGGCCACTGTTGTCCTAGTTACCAAAAAAAAATTACCAATTTTTTTAGTAGAAATGCATATTCGGATGTAGGCCTACCTTTAAAAAGGTGTAGAGAAAAAATCATTTGCTCTCTATTATTAAAAAAATTATTTTTTACCGGAACCTACCCCCTTAATTACAGAAAATCAGATTCACACTGTCAGCATCAGTTTATTGTGTCAACACTAATTGGAACTAGAAATCTGTCTTTGCTTTCTTTAAAATTAGAAATACAAATCTTCTGTTAGCACTCTCTGAGAATATAATTCTTCTGTTGGCCTTCTAGAATTAGAAGTAAAAAAAAATCTTCTGTTAGCCTTCCTTAGAAATACAAATCTATTCTTTCAAAACTTCCCTGATAATACTTTTTAAACTTCTATGAGACTTGATTTTTAAAAAAAAGAGTAATTACCACATTTAATTTTGCTAAATAGAAACATTTTTTTTTGTTCACATGTAGCAAGAGACAGATCTGTCCTTTGCATGCTTTTTAAACTTTTAAAAACAATGCTTGCTTGCTACCATTCTTGTGTCAACCTTTTCTTACGTTACATTCAACTCAATGATAAGGAGGTGACATGTTTATAATAAATCTTTCCTTTTTTTTATCCCACTTACTCATTCCATCCATTATCATATACTATATAGTTATGTTATTTGTACTGACTGAAAACTAGGTCACTGTACTTTTTAAACCAGTTCATTTAATATTTTTAAGAGGCAATGAATATTTGCAATTTAAAGTTAAACCTCATACATTATTTCTAACAATTTAGAAACAAATTATGTAAATTTTCATCACTGTTAAGTTTTCAAAATTCAGCTGCACCCCTAGAATATCAGCTTTACATAACTGTGCTTTAAAATAAACTTAACCTCTACCCACTTAAAATGTTTGTTCCATTAATTTAATAAAGTTAATTTTTTTAACATTTCATACCTAGATATACATACATACAAATATACATACACACACAACTATGTGTTGGTAATTATGTTGTAGTAGTTATTTGCATATGTATTGTTTTAGTTTTATCTGCTCCTAGCATGATAATTAACAAATGTAACTAGTTTGTGTTGTCAATACCTTATGTCACTTGCCAAATTGTTTTTTTTTAATTCTTTTGGCCTCATTAATAAAATTTTTGGTTTATCTTCCATTTATCTTACACTGGCATACACTGTGGTTGTTAGCAAATTAATCCCCAAACCCGGCCAACAGGTAAACATACATCTAACTCTTCAAATGTATTTACACATTTAAATATAAAAATTCAGTGCCTTTTATTACAGAAGAAATCATTTTATAACTGATGTGATAACAGCATGATTTCAAGTACCTTTAATTCTTACTTTATTCTTAAGATTTTTAAAAATGTAAAAATAAGCTGTATTTGCATTAGTTTTGTTGCTTTTTAGAATTATACATGCAAATTGTTATCCAGCCAGTTTATTAACTCTATGAATGCTGCAATTTGAACAAGCTTGTGTTCAAAATGATGATTACACACTGATAAGCTTCTAAAAAAATGTACCCACATACTTACTTTAGATGTATGCTGTAGGGTATATTAGTTATAAAAATGTATGCTTGTTTTTTAGTTCTGAAAATTGCTTGCAAGTAGCCTGGGCTGGAGACAATTAAGAAAATTTAATACTTGAAGGCATTTTTATTAACACTTAGACCACTGTATAGGGAGACAGAGAGCTGACAATGTCTGCTTCAATGTTTTATGGTATCTTAAAAAAAATTACAGAGATTGGTTGAGACAGCCCTGATTCAATTTGTTTTTCCTTATTTTCATGCCTTCACAAAATGTGTTTTAGACATAGTATTAGCTACTAGACCTGAGTTTAAAATAAAATAATAAAAAAAAAACATTGCACTTTTGGTGGTCTGAGTGTTAAATTCATCACTTGCTTGGGCCTTTATCTCATTCTTTTCTACTTTTTGTTATCTTTGCTATCATCGTTTGAGCCAAGTAATGAGGTAAGATTGGTTAAAATGTGTTCATCTTCTTTTATTACAAATTTTTAAAAATTTACTCTCATAAATATGATCACCCTTACCAAGTACTGTCTAACAAATTTGATGCGGAGATTTGAAAAGAAGGAAAGAAACTAACTCTGTCTAGGCTAAACAAACTCAAGAACAAAATCTCTATATCTACCACTTAGTTATACTGTTTTATCTTGTGTATCTCTAGCTGAAGAAGGCATGGAGAAAAGACCGCTGAAACAAGTCTTTTATTTTAATCTTGTGTTATCTGTGTGTTTTGTTTGTTTGCCACTTCCTGCTCATTGGCTTGTAAATCCTAACTGCTACTAATCACAACTCATATCAAATTTCCAGCCACATAACATGTTAGTAATGTTAGTAAATGGTTGACTAATCTAATTTTACTAAATATTTACTAAATTAAACTAAATGCATTATACCCTTTTTTTTAACATTTGTAATTATATAATTATAAAAAGAAACTATTCCATCATTCAGGTTAATATTTGCATAATTCTCATTAATTTAAGCCTGTTTTATCAATTTCTTTTTAAAGCAAATAGTAATGAAAACAATCATATTACAAAAGGTGTTTTGTAAAAACAAAAAATGTAGAAGTTTAGTAGAAAGTTCGCTTATATTTTCTAAACCACGTTTCAACCAAGATGGTGTTTTCTGAACTAGAAAAAAAAATCCATCAAACATCTAGTTTTGTGTTTAAAAAAGCATGCTGGCAAGTAAAAATAGTTGCAATGAAATCAAAATTGTTTTTTACTGGGATAAAAATGCATCAATCATTAAGAAAGGGTTAAAATGAGTGTATAAGCTTGGTGAACTTTCATAATTAAAATGAAAACAACATACTTACACCTTTGATAGTGTTTTCAACCAAATCCATTATCACTATCACAGTTTAAACACTCAGTATGGCCTTTTTTTATGTGATGTATTATAAAATCCAGTTATTTATATTGTATGTTGCAATTTTTTAAAATTATAAAAGATACAAAGACTTTTCTGACATATACTTTGCATACTTTTAGTAACTTTAAAAAACATTTTTATTTTAGATTGTCATGTTCGTTATTAACATTAATCTAATCTTAATTCTTTCTTTTTTTCAGTTCTTATTCTAAGAAAAACAAAAAAAGCAAGCACTACTCTAAGAAGAGGTAAGAAAATGTTTATTTTGTCACTGTTTTTGTAATATATGTAAAGAAAAGAAACAACTAGATATACAATTTTTATGCTGGTCTATGTACTGTTGTCAACCTGTCAATCATTGTAAGTCAACAATACCACGATATTCATCAAGTTTTAAAATCTCCATCAGTAACATAGGCCTGCAGAATTTCAGCCTTTCTTTTTGAAGTAGCCAATGCATTGATTGTCTGATATTTCTCAATGATAAGGTTGTTCTCTCCCCCTCCTCCCACTCACTGTGTTTGTTCCATCTTCTAGAAGAGTATTTGCATGGCTGGGCTTTCTCTATTCATAGTTTTATCTTGATGGCCCAGAGTCATCACCTTGATTGAGACTGGAAACAAGATTTTTTTGTTTATATATGGCTGGAACCCTATACTAAGATTCGAATAGATTGTTTTGTTTGGAGTTTTATTATGTCCCAAGTTCCTAATTAGCTTATCATGTGTTACGAGAAAAAAAATATTCAATTTAAATTTTTTTTTTAACTGGAAGAAGATGTAGTGTTCCCATTTTCTTTAAAGTCTGTCATTTAAGCCATCTTAGAAATTTGTAATTTAACAATTTTTATGTGATTAATTTATTTTGAATAAAAAGTATCACTTCTTCTGACAAATAATCTTACTATTCACTATAATTTTGTACAAAGTTAATTTACGTATTAGTCATCAGCTATTTATATTTATTACATTTTTAAATTAAAGTTACTTTTTCCAATACTTAATAGCTGTTACCTTGGTATCAAACTATTGTAATGATATTGGTATATTATAAAATTATGATTCTAATCCTTACTACAACATTCATGAAGCAAGGAATTCTAAAATTACTGGCAGTAAAGTGTTGAAGCATTTAATGATTTATTGAATGAAAGGTCAAGTAGTCTCTTGTCATTATCATTAAAAAGAAAATTTTCGAACCCTCCCCGCTAATTCTCTCAGTGAGCATGAACACAAGCAAATAATGCTAATTTCCAATTGATTTTACTCATCATGGCAGGTCCTCAGCCAAGAAGAAGCACAGACGTCACCACAGCACCTCTGATTCAGACACCCTTGACAGGTAATGGATCATTAATCACGCACAGCCTTGATCCAAAACTTTCCTGATTTAAAAAAAATTTTCCCCAGACCTTCAGAGTATACATGATATTATGAGTTGTAAGACTAGAATGTTTCTGTAAATGAATCAGATGTGACGTTTCTCATCTGCGTCTACTGAGTTTATTATTCTTTTCTATGGTTTATGTATTATTCTTTTCTATGGTTTTAATTGAACACATTACATTACTAGTATAACATTAGTTAGATGATTCTTTCACAGGGGGGAGGTTGGGGGGGGGGGGGGGGAGTGAGAGAGAAGTCCAAACCAATTAATTACCATTGGGGGTATACACATGTTTGGGTGGGGGAAAAAAATAAATATATATATATATATATATGTGTGTGTGTGTGTAAAGCCTATATATCACAAATATACACATGCATATATATGGTTATAAAAACAACAGCCCTTTTTTAACTAAAACATTTTTATTATAGCTTGTTTTGTTCTAATGTTTCAAATCTGTGCATATATTTTGGGAATGATGCTGATAACAGTTTTCTCCTGTTAATTTCTTTTTTGCTGATGAAAACAGTACTTTATGATTTACATGAGTTTGTTGTGTAGAGAAGTGAGTTAATGGGATTTTGACTGTTAAGTGAAAGATTTCTGCAAAAAGCAATGTGTAGTTTTGATCTGATTTATTTCTAGTGATGATTCTGATGGACTAGAGGTGAATGATATTGACAAGCAAGACCTCCCTGTGACCAAAACCAATGGAGCCAGCCATCCATCTTTACAGTCACTTGTGTTAGTATTATAATTTACTTAATTTAGAGAGCAAGTGCCTCCTTGGTAAGGGATGGGGAGAATAGGAAGTATTTTTCAGTGCAGTATCAAAATTTGGAATTTAGGTAGTGTTTTCTTTTTTGCATGTTTGTTAGTAAATGAAATGACACAGAAGATGAGTTGTATTGTAACGTGGGTTATATTGTGCCCACCAGATAGTTTTGTGAACACTATTCAGGAAATGGAGCTATAATATTGTTATACTGACCACCACACAGCAGCTATAATATTGTTATATTGACCACCACACAGCAGCTATAATATTGTTATACTGACCACTAGACAGCAGCTATAATATTGTTATACTGACCACCAGACAACAGCTATAATATTGTTATACTGACCACCACACAGCAGCTATAATATTGTTATACTGACCACTAGACAGCAGCTATAATATTGTTATACTGTGACCACCAGACAACAGCTATAATATTGTTATACTGACCACCACACAGCAGCTATAATATTGTTATATTGACCACCACACAGCAGCTATAATATTGTTATACTGACCACTAGACAGCAGCTATAATATTGTTATACTGACCACCAGACAACAGCTATAATATTGTTATACTGACCACCAGACAACAGCTATAATATTGTTATACTGACCACCAGACAACAGCTATAATATTGTTATACTGACCACCACACAGCAGCTATAATATTGTTATACTGACCACTAGACAGCAGCTATAATATTGTTATACTGTGACCACCAGACAACAGCTATAATATTGTTATACTGACCACCACACAGCAGTAGTTTAATATTTGACAGGAATTTTAAAATTCTGACCAGTGTTTCTTCCAGACTTTTTTCTCGGGGGGGGGGGGGGGGGCAGTCACTGTTAAAAGTATATATTTTCTATATAAATTCCATTTCATTCGGGGGGGGGGGGGGGGGGGTTAGACTTTCTTCTGGGAGATGCCTGGAAGAAACTCTGATTCTGACAGTATTCATTTGTACACCTATAACAGTGTGTAATATTGTGCCACTTAAAATAACAGAAGTAATGTGAGAGTACCTGTGCTCATTAAAAGATAACCATTATCATTTTTATTTTTTAAGTAAAAATTTGTATTTCTGTAAGAATCAATACTGGAAAGCTTAATTAAACATATTTGGAACTAATATTAAGTCCGACACAAGTGCTATATTTCTCCTACTCCTTTTCAGCACAACTGTAGAGAATAAGGCCAGCACCCCTCCACTGTTGGGTTGCACCACACTTAGCCAGATTAGCAGTAATACACCACCTCAGCCAGCTGTCCTGTCTCCACCAGCAGATGGTGCTAGTGTTAAGTACTTGAATGAGAACACGTGTCACAAAGCATCAGTTCCAACTATCACTCGGGATAATAAATCAAGGTCAAGTTCAAGGTCTCATTCATATGGTAGTCATTCTTATCGAAGGTAGTATTTGATTTTTTTTATTATATACACATAATATCACCAAAATTATAGTAACAATATTTTAATTAAATCCCAAGTTAAGTTATATAACTGATTCAGATTGCAAAAATTAAAATACATATTCTAATTTAGGCGATCAAGTTCAATTTCTTCATCTTCAAGAAGTCGAAGCAGGAGCCGAAGCCACTCTCCCAGTCATACGCCACATTACTCACATAGCAAGACTCACAGCAGAACTAGAAGCAGAAGTCCTAGTCTAGCCTACAGCTCAGAACATCGTGGCAGTCACCGTGACTCACGTTCACCGTCTATCAGGCGCCGGCATGGTTCTCCAAGTCATTTGGATAAACGTAGAATTACCAGGTAGATGTTGGGGAATTATAGTGTGTAGGAATTATGTTTTGTATAAATAGTTATGCTTACAGGTAAACCTCTTTTGTTAAAATCTTCCTGACAAAATGAAGCAAGAGTTTACTTTAGGTGTTTATTTCACACTCTGTTGCCATTTTTTTTGTTGTCAATTGCTTTCTGATACACCTTTTCTGTTGCTTTATCTGTGTTATCATTTGCAACATATATCATAAGTATTTTTGTTGAGGGCTCTGTTCATACTATTTCTGCTCATTTATGAGTAACTATATTTGCATTGTTTTCACAAGTAATTAACTAAAGTTTTACATTTGAGTCTTATAAACATGTTGAAAACAGTACTAAAAGTATCTCTTTTTGTCTTGTTAAATTGGTATATTAAATGATATAATGAAGATTTATATACAGACTGTACTAAGCTTAGTGTTGTCAGTAATTTTATGTAAAGATCATGCTCAAGACAAATAGTGTTTACATGATTCCCTTAACATTATGAAACTACACAAACAATATTTAAGAAACTGAACAAGACCTCGCCTAGTTTTTAATATTTATGTTTGTTTTATTATATTGCACGTCCTTATTTGATCTTATGATTTTAAAATGATTTTAGTGTCTATTTATGTAACCTTTTTTTTATTTTTGGTTTAATTTGGTGTTGTGCTTGTCATATGTGATCACAATGTGATGGATAGGTCCAGAAGCCATTGTAGAAGATCCTACAAGTACCATTCTCGGTTGTTTTCAAGTTCTCGCTCAAGGTCACGATCCCAATCCTGGTCCTCTGCTTTGACCCGGCGTTACAGTCACAGAAGTCACTATTGAGGCCTATTGGGTACATTTTATAATTCCAAACCAATTTCTACTAACTCTGAAATTTACTAATTCCTTAAAGAGTTTGAGCCACTTGATGACATTAGTTATTACTCACTTCAATAGCATGAAAACTAAAACAAAAACTAATACAATACCTAAAATGTTTGCTGACATTAGTTATTACGTCATTGCTCACTTCATTAGCATGAAAACTAAAACAAAAACTAATAAAATACCAAACTAATAAAATACCTACAATGATTGCCCTTTTCCAATCACAGATATTAAACCTACTAAAATCTCATTCATTACTAACATTAACTATTTGAGATATTTAATTTAAAGGAACTTTCTAGTGTAAAAAAAAATGACAGGTTTCATTATTTTACCAGCTTTTTTGTTAGATACTGATTATTATCTTTCACAATCTACGTACAAGTGTTATTTTTATAGCTGCTTTATTCCTAGGTAAGGGATTAGTTTACATCAAACATAACATCAGTGTTGTATTGTAAAAATATTTTTAAACATTGCTGGGCGTGAAATTTTAGCTCTTAAAAGTTAATTGATTTACTTTATTATGACACCACTTTAGTAGTCAAACACTTAAAGTAACCTAATTTGTAAGATAGAGCAGCGTTAGCTAATTATCTCTGATTTAGGAATTTAAGGAATTAAGTTTTGTAAAAAAAAATATATAAGGCTCATTCATGTTATTTTATTTTGATACCTGTCAGTTTCAAATTTTCATTGTTTTTGCACATTGCTTTGGGTGTGGTACAAAGTTTGTTTTTCATTTTATTCAAACCTGAATATGCATGTGATTAGTTGTTTTTTTTTTACATTTGGGTTTCTGATTTTTTATAACTTAAGTTCATGAACTGGATAATTTTTATTGCAAAATTAAATTACAGGTAAGTACTCTAGATCTATTAAAATTATAATCTATTAACCTTCAACAATAAAAATTTAAACTGATAAAATTTAAAAAGATATTCATTTAAATAAATGGCATTTGTAACTAGCATTTCCTGTTCTTCAAGCATTCAGAAAAAAAAAATTATATTTGTGCAAATTACTTATCATGAGCTGATGGGAATAACTTAACTCTTCTTTCAGTGCACGCAAACGTCCAGTTCCATATTATAGACCTTCACCATCCCCTTCAGATAGTGACTCTTCATACTGCTCTAGAAGGTCAAGATCAAAGTCACACACATCCCGATCTCGATTCCGCAGTCTTTCTAGATCACCTAGTCTTGAACTACATTATCGGAGGAGAAAACAGATTCAGCAGCCATTGCGACACTCTCAACAACAGCACCTGCAGCTGCAACAACAGCCTCAGCAACCACCTTATTATTATCAACCTCTACATCATATACCTCACTCATCTACATCAACTGCATCTTTTTCATCTCAATACTCAACAGCTTGTTTAATATCTCAATGATAATTAAATGTAAAAAAAAAATGTTCAAAACCTGTTTTGTCCCTTATTTTAAAATAATATAAATATAAATAATTTTACAGATAAAGTCAATTTACTTAATGGTAAATCAAATTACATTCGTCAAGAGTACACAAATTTTGTTTTACTGTAATTAAAATACTTGTTAGTGAATCAAGTCTACAATTAACACAATTTAAGATTTTTAAATATATGCTGCAAGGTAATCAATTTAAAAACCTTTTTCACTGTCCAATCCTGTCATTTTAAGGTGAGGTAATTATATTAACTTTTAAATGATTTATTGAACAAATGTTAATATTAATCTCATCTAACAAAGAATGCTTTGCTTAATTTTGCATGTGATTGTGTGTAAATATTTCTTCCAAAATAAACTACCACTTGTTTACTGAATGTGTTGTTAATGAAAAGGTTGCAAGCGATACTTGATTTTTCACAATACTTAACACCAGCGAAGATTTTGTTCAGGATGATTGGAATGAGAAGTAACAAGAGTATAGTAGTATTAATCTCAAGAAACAAAGCTGAGCTTTCATTGTTTTTTGCTCCTTAAAGTAATAAAATAGACCCAAAAGAAAAAAAAATGCTGATATGAATCTACAAAATTTACTGTTTCTATATAGTGGTACATTTCAATTGTGTCATTTTTAGAACTGATATCAAGAAAAGTCAAAATAAAATTTCTTTGAATCCACTATTTAATAGTTGTAAACATAATTATAGCCTGCCCTTTAGAATCATCCTGTTGTTAATATATTACATTGAAATACAATTACTTAAATGTGAGAATAAAGTCATAACTTTAATTATATCCATTTTATCTCAATTCTGATTAGATTGTCGTTACATTAATAAAATAACTGAAAATATTTCAGATATTTTCTGGTACATTCCACTTTGAACGTGTTAATGCCTAACAAATAAAAATTAGTAAACTGGCCACCAAAAACTAGATTTCTTCTGTAAAAAGAAAAATGTTTTAAATTTTATAATTATTTTGTCTATTTAAAAACTTAATTATTAAATTCACAAATCTGGCATATAAGCCTACTAATAGTAGACCCAATTAGATTGCAAGGAATCAATAAGTTTACTTAAGCCAACGTTGACAAAATACTTAACAATAATTGCTTAATTTGACCACATTTGTTTTTTTTAGCTTGGACTGGGAGGAAAATTTGTGTAAATATGTATTTATAAATTCATCATTCAATGCTTCAGTTTTACTTGCAAATTGTATTGTTAGATTGTTTTTTTTATATAATTTCATCAATTCTTCTTTGTTGAGTAGTAATACCTTGTTCGCCATTCAATGACTATTCATCAAAAATAATTTTCAATGCTCTTTTCTTCCTGTTTTCTTAAAATTAGAAAAATCTCTAAAAGAATGTGAAAACTGCATGATTTTCTTTTTAACTATGGAGCTTAATTATTGTACCAAGGTAAAATGATGTTCAAATTATGTTTTCAATCATTTTGTTAAGCTCATCTTAATACTCAAAGATCACATGCACATTGTTTCCATTATAGGAAAGGATTTGAACATTAGTAATAGCTAGTTACTGTTTCATAGTCGTAACCTTGATTGTAAATTTTTGTTCATTTGTGGAACTTGTACAAATAAGTGTGGAGCAGCTCATTTTAGCTATCTTGGTTTTTTTTTTTAATTAACTTATTATAATTTTTAAATTAAATCCTTTTGTGTAAGTTTTCCTTGTCTGTGGCATTGCACTGTGAGCCTTTAAGCTGTGATTTTAAAATACTAACAAACAAAAGAATGAAAACAATTACAGTTGAATATTCGGAGGTGAAGATATAGCTCCTGTAGTGACCTGTAAGGCTGTTAGCCAGCTTTGGTCATCTTATAAAATGGTAATCTTTTTGTTCTTCGTCAGTTCAAACTAGCCACTGCTCTATCTTTGAGATAGGTAATAATTGTAGATTCCCAAGTTAGTGTTCAATAAAACTGTTAAATTTTTTTTTTAAATAACTTTCATAAATGTGTTTAAAGTTGAAAAAACTTACTTCCTTTATTTGTTAATTCTTTTTCTTTAGGTGGCATGAACTACATTTTATAACAATAAATTAATAATCATTACATCATGTTTCAAAAGACATTTGTCAATGTTAGCAAACTTGAATAAAACATGCGTAAATATACTTGATATTTCACTTGTTTTTAGTAATAGTTGTTGTAAGTGTACTACAGTTAGTTTCCAATAGGATAAGAAAATTAGACTAATGATGAATGGGATGTTTTTGACCATGAATCTTACAACTATTTAAAATATATTTTTACAATTCTAAATTATCAAAGAATTGTGGCCCATAACCTGTCCAGTCTAGCCACTTACTAAGTTTTTCACACATGAATAGCTTACAGCAATATTAACTTTAGCATTTTTTTTTTAATGTATTTGCAAATGAGTTGCATAATTCTATTTTTATATGATGTAGGTGGTTAGAGTGAAGTTATAATACACATCGGAAAAAACTTGTAAAGTAGTAATATATCAGGAATCCAGGCAACTCTTTTAGAAGAAAACATTGATAACCTGTATTCTTGTGTGCTTATTCTAAATGGATAAAGATTTTAAATGGTCTAAAATTCAGGCAAATGGCACAAATACCTGTTACAAATACAATGCAAATCCCAGAATTGTTTTTGCTTAACTACTCATCCCATCAATGCTGTTACCAACATTAATTTCAGAGTTTAATTTAATAATTCAGAGTTAAATTTAGTAATTTAATTTTTAAAATGGTCATTTCAATCCCTGGTTACTCCACAAAGTCTTGAAAGACAGATCCAAGCACACTTACAATTGCTCTCTGGTATTCAAAAAACTATTTGAAAAATAAATAAAAATTTTCTTTTCACTTTTCCTAACTGTCGTTCTATTAACCTAATATATTAATACAACAAATAAATCTACAAAAACAGCTTTATTGTGTTTATAATAATAACAAAAACAACAGTTAATCAAAGTAATTTTAGATGTCCAGTAATCTTGTCAATTTCAGATGCTGGACCTGCATATATAAAAAAAAAAATTGCTTATGAAGCTTATTTGATAAAAAGCAATCACTAAATCAAATGACTACAATGAGAATCATACCTTAAAATGACTATCTGTAAAGTCTCACGTTTTTTCTTTCAAAGCAAATTTGATTGGGATGGAGTTTAGAGTGAAATGTCCTTTTAAGTAATTAATTATTAAAACTTGTTGCTCTCAAAAAAGACAATTTACCTGGGCCAACAGCCAGAACAGTTTTTGACCCTGGAGCAATCTGTGTCCTCCCTGCGTCACTGATAAGGCACGTTCTTATATTACAAGCATCGGCATCCTTTATTATATTATATCTGAAAAATTGTTTTTAATAGAAACTGGGTAACAGTATGCTGTTTTAAATTCAGATAGATTCTAGTTTACATAAATTAAAATGCATTAGTTTTATTTTGCTCTTTTAATTTTCATTTAATTGTTAGATTCTTTGTAAGTACATATCAACAAGTTAGAGTGTAATACCCTATTGTTGAGTTTGTATTATGTCTCTTTGTCCACCCTGCTCTGAGAGGTATCTGACTCACAATAGGGAAAGAAAAGGGGCCTGAGCATAGAACTATATACCAAATGAGGGTAGGGGAAACAAATTGAACTCTAGTAATAACCTTGTAATTTCAAGGCCTGAAGAGGTAACTTCACATCTAAAAATTGTTTTGGCTAATGTAGATAACATCTTAAGTAAGAATTCATTTTTAATGATTTTATCACATTTTTACAATTGTTCAGTAAAAGTATTGGATGATGAAATAGCAAGAACTATCAGAGAATCAAAAAAGGGAAGTAATTAAGAAATTTTGGAAATTGAAAAGTGTGTTGCTTTTGACAATTTTTTTTACAGAACTTCCCTGCATTAAATTTTATTTGAGAGTTTTTTTGTTCATTCTGAGAAAGGATGCATCACAATTTGTACCATTTGTAATTAATTGGTTTGTTTTCTAATCTTCTAACATTACTTCTTGTTTATTGTTACCCCAATTGATAGTGTTTGTACAAAACATTCTTACAAAGCAGCCTCATCATCAACTTTGACTACAACTTTGGGCTGCCCATGTCTTTGCCAATATTTCAATGCAGCTGGATTATCATAGCTAATTTTTTCAACTGCTGCTACTGCAGCATGAGCACACTGTAAAAATAACATTAAAATTGTTTTAAAAAAAACACATTCCAAAACATAAATATGTTATAGTTAAGCTTTTTGAGCAAAACTGAATGAAAATGTCTGCGCATAGGCCAATGTGATCTAAATTTTCAGTAATTAATTTAAATCTTAAAAAGTAGGCCTGTAGGTTAGAATAAAAAACAGTATCATATTGTGCAACTGATAACTATTGATAATGATCATTGGTGCAAACAGTAAAGGGGGGATGAAGTGAAATAAATTATTCTATTTTTACAGCTCCAATTAATTTTACCTAAACAACCTACTTACTACAGCCTCAAATAATTATAAACATCAGAATAATTTGACAAATACAGTTTGTTTTAACTTCCATAAACAAAAAATATTCTGAATATTCTCCAAGTATCGACTTAACTCAGGGGTCTCCAAACTTTTCAGTCGGAGGATTGCATTAGCTATCAAATATAAGTTCGGGGGCCAGAGTTTCTTCCAGGCATTTCTTCGGGGAGATGGATATTAGGAAAGTCTTCTTTTGGCAAATACTTATAAAACTCACGCGCCCTTATTTGAATTCGTCTCTAATGAGGTCATTTGCTGGGCAACTAGCCACATTTGCATCATTGGTTTTTGCACTCAATCCTACATTTTCGATTTGTTTTGAATTTTTCTTCAGCCACCTCCAAGAAACCTTTTTTTTTTCATGGGCAAAAAGATCTCTGAGGGCCGGATGAGAGGACCTCGAGGGCCGGGCCGTAGTTTGGAGACCCCCTGATCTAACTTATAGCTAGCATTTACAACAATAAGAAACAAAATATGATTACCTGTGCTCCTATTTTGCCTTTGCCCATTTTAAGATCTGTTCTAACCACAAGCACCATTTTGTATTCACCTGTGACTAATGGTTTGTCCCCCTGACCTAGACTTCCCTATAATTGAAATAAATAGCTTGCATTAAAAAGATGGTATGGGTACACTGATTTTAAATGTGACCTGACTTATGAGGTTTTTTTTAGATTTGAGCCGTTGTTTGCTTTGAGATACAAGAAAAATATGAGACTTAAATAACCAGCCTACCAGTTGAAAGTGAGGAAGATTTTAAAAAAAACGAAATAGGCTAAGATCAGTGCTGTGAAAAGTAGTGACATAAAATGAAGCTAACTAAAAAATAAAAAAATTGAATTGTATTTTTGTTAATTTAAGTTATTATTCTTCATTCATAATTGTAAAAATTGAAGGGGATTTCCTCCAACATAATAAGTATTACAAGTATTCAGGTTGTTTGATTTTGGAATTTACTTTCCTAGATGGGTTACTGTTCCCAGCTAACAAGCCACATCTACCTAGTTAGAACTTGGGGCTTCTGGAGTTAGCAATCAAATGGTCTTCCGCCTGACCTTGCCATCATTTAAGTTCAATAAGGTTCATTAGATTGAGGAATTAAGTATTTATCATCGTTCTATCAGCATGTGTGACAAGAGCGCTCTGGTTTAATACTAATTATTACAAATGCCATACAAAAATTAATAACAAATTTTTGAAGTATCTTTTTCCAGTACCTGAGATACAGCTGGAATTTTTCTGCGCCTGCACATCCAGTATGCAGCTATAAATCCTCCACCAAAACATAATGTTAACATTAATTTTGGGTAGTCCTGCAGTAAAGTGGAAAGTTGAAAATATTCTGCGGCTCTCTTCATGATGTCAGAGTACTTATGGCCTTGAGCAATTAGTAATGTGTTGTACTACAACAAATTGCAAATACTTGACACTTCAATGGTAGACCTATAATGAGCTATTCAAAGTTATAAAATAAATGATAAGTCTCTTAAACATAAAAAACCATTAGTAGGATCTAAAATAAACAGAGTGTTCTGTTGGTAGAGCAGCTAAACAGACTATTTGTATTATTACTTATTTAAAACGTTATAATCATAATATAAAATAAAATAAACAATATCCCAGGGTATGTGTTATACCAGAGTCTGATAATGCCACAATAATGAAATCCTCTTTTAAAAGACTACTGGTAATAAACTAAGGAGGTCATCTATAAACAGCTTCATGGTTTTTAAAAATAGTTTTTACCCACTCCTTCTATTGTCACAAGTAAGACCCCTTTCCCTAAAATTGTGTCACAATTGTGTCTACCACCTGTTCAAAATTAATGTTTTTACTTTTTTTTAAACAGTGATTTATGCATAAATTTTTTACTGAGCTCAGTCAACACGAGTATAATGAATTTTTTTGCAAAACAGTCTATGCAAATAATCTTAACTTCAGTTTCAAATATAACTTTTTAAAATGCAATAGCGTGTCAAATATTTTGAAGTCCAAACCTATTTCTGTTTGGAAGCGTCCATTTTCTTCCTTCTCACACAAAATGGAACCAGTACATTTTTAGATATATAAGGCTTATTCTGGGCAGAAAGGTATGTACAAGGGCAGTGCTATGAAATATTTGTTTGTTATACATCTTTATACCTTATACATCCCTACAACATTAATCCTATGCAGTGATTTGTTACGACCTTTCCATGGGCCTATATGTTCATTTTTAATAACAATGCAAGAATGTCTTACCCTTAATTTACTCAAAAAATAAATTAGTAAAAATTAATAAAATGTTTCCTTAGTTCAATAACAAAAAGGGGAGATAAAAAGATTAAGTACTAGCAATCACTTGATCCACTAGCTGTTGGGAGGATAAGCAATCCCAACAAGGAGTTGAGGGGCAAAAAAAAGCTAGATAAAATACTTAATTATGTTTTGTGTGAAACGTGTGTTTTTATATGAATAAATATATTATTTCGTATTTAAACCTATATTTTAAATTTATTTACCTAATCTAATCGAATACCATAATTTTATAAAAAATTTTAGTGGCTCTGTAAAAACTGGGAGATTTTGTAAATTGTAACTTTTGGCTCTTCCGTCTCAAAAGGTTGCCCATGTGTGGGCTATAACATTGAATTATTGTGGCTTTATCGAACATTGGAACTAGTAAGACTTGCCTCATAGATCTAGATTCTAGAATATATTAAAATAAGATCTCTAGACACGCTAGTCACTTGGAGTCTCTAGATCTAGTGACTAGTGCCTTATGTATTTAATAATTTTATATATATTATTATATTACATATATTTATTACGAAGTGACTAATCGGAAAAAGATTTTTTCGTCCCAGCGTCTCCACCTAGTCGACAAAAGATAGTGCACATGCGCAGTGACCTATAGTTAGGGTTATGATTAGGGTTAGGATTGTGGCTAGGGTTAGGGTTAGGGTTCTGCGGTTGCCATCACACGCATGTGCAGTACCATCGAAAACATTGCCGAGAAGGAAAGTCGTAGTTTCTCTCCATTGCGCACGCGTATCTTTTTCCGGCTAGAAGTGGACAGATTTCAAAATTATTAATATATTTTATTATTTATATCTCTCTCCTCAACTAGAAATTAAATCTAGATCTAGTATCATAGTATGTGACATGCAAGCAAGACTTAGTTATTGCTATTTTACTATTTTTAGTTATCTACTAGAGCCAGACTGTAGTTAGCATGACCCATAGTGGCTTCTTTTTACATTTAATTTTTTTCATATTGAAAACATGACATGTTATTCTTTTTTTTTTAAATAAAATTTCCAAACATCCTCACTGGCGTGATTGCTTGCTTATGTTTACTATCACGTGAGTGAAAAATCCCCCATGGTCAGCGGGATCACTGTGAGGGTAAAACTCCATTTTGGCGTATTTTATTCTCCGCTTCTCGTTTACCTCCAGTTGAGCGTATTTTATTATAATAACCGAAACCCCAACCTCAATCATATTTTTGTTGTCAATGTCACAACAAGTCATAATGTAAAAAATTACGCTAAGATATCTAGCCTAAGCTTATCTAAGATATCTAGCCATAATTTTGACAAAAATAAATGTTTGTCATCATTTATATATACAGAGAGACAAAATTTATTATCCACCAGCTTCCCTCGTAAAACATCACCTAAAACAATCAGCTACTCCACCCCTCGTGTTGTCATGATTTCAAGTCTCCACTTTTCAGATACATGTTGGTTATTCTTTGTTGTCAAAATGTCAATATCAAATGCCCAAATGAGTGATATGGGGTTGTCCATAAATGATGTCACATATGATTTGCTACGGGAGTGAATGAAGATTTTTGACGTCAACTCACGCGGCTCCGCAAATTATGACGTGTTGGTCTCATGAAAGGAGGTGAACGGGGATAAAACCTAGGTGATTGATGGAGAACCCCTATAATGCTATGTTCAATCAAAATAACGGTAAATAAGCACTAGTATACGAATACTTTGCTCAAAACGAATCATCAGAAATGTTGGAAGCCTGCTAGTTTGAGACGTTTGGTAAAACGGCCTCAACACACATCCCCGTCGAAAAGGTTTGCAGAGGCGTAGCGACCCTTCCCGGCGCCCGGGGACAAACTTTCGGTTTGCACCCCCCCCCCCTTCAAACTTGTGATTTGTTTATCCAACCCATTTTGGCGCCCCCCTAAGGTCGACATATGTTCCCCCCCCCCCCCCCCCCCCCCTCGCAACGCCTCTGCCTAAGACGAATATGCGGCGCCTAATGCGAGGCGTTAGGAATACGGCCATTAGCATGGGGCCACGTTAGAGCACCAGTAGGCTGTCGTGCTTTGTAAGATGATAGTAATGTTCCATCGTTTGAGGAAATTTTTTTCTTGGACTTTAATTGAAATATCATATATTTTCGAATATCACATTTACTGTATTAAGATTCAGAACTATAATTTACTTTAACATAAGTGTCATCTTATCGTTTATTGTGCTTTTTATAAAGAACAGAGCAGCTTCAAAATCGGACAGCCATCCTGTTTTCACCAAGCTTCTTTTGGAGCTTAATATGGGTAGTCTAGTTGTATATGGTGGGAGCTTAATTCATTTTTAAAGGGTATAAAGTCTCAAGAATAACCACGTATGTTTAAATGGACGAGTGATAGATGTGTGAGGGGCTGTTTAATTGAACTCCAACATAAGTTATCAAATTAAACGTCGCATAAGTGTCAAACGGCAGTGCTTGTTTTTTTTCTTCTATAAAATTGGCCTAACGGTCGGCGGTATAGGAACATGACGTCATGCGCAAGCGTTAACTCGGTGGTGATGTGCTAAGTGGAAATGAAAAGGTGGGGTTCAGAAATGCGACTCAGCATGCTTTTTACATTTCTTGACCCTTCTTAATAGTTCTATCTTCCCCACTGAGAAAATGGATCACCACAACCATCCCGTTTTCAGCACAAAAAAACCTGACCCGTCTCAAAATCAGATAGCTGAGTTCTACTCAACCTCTCCCCACCACAAATCACAATTTCTATCGGAAACAATATGTTCATATGTTTGTCCTGTAATAATGCACACTGTCATTACTATAAGAGCAACGTCATTTATGGGCGATCTAATATTGATTTGATTACTGCAAATAATGTGTTCAAAAAATCGACCTCCCAACAATTGTTGTGGTCTTGGATGCACACTATTAAGTCTGAAAAGGTCTATAAGTCATTCATGTCAACTATATTTTTAAAAAAAGAAAAATTACTATACAGGCATATATTAAAACAATACAAAACAACCATATTAAACCACAAAATCAACATGCGAATAGACAATTTTTCAAGGGAAACTACTCTATTATTGTTTTTGAAACATGGCCGCTGCTTGTATTTACTCATTGTTGTCTCAAATGGGGTAGTTTAAAGTTTATTCCAGACAGAGGCATAGCGAGGGGGGTGGGGGACATATGTCCCCAGGCGCCAACCTTAGGGGGGCGCCAAAATGGATTGGAAAAACAAATTGAAAGTTTGTGGGGGGGGGGGGGGGGGGTGCAAATGAAAAGTTTGAGGGGGGGGGGGGATGAAAATGAAAAGTTCAAGCGGGGGGGGGGGTGTTATTGAAAGTTTGTCCCTGGGCGCCGTGAAGGGTTACTTACTACTTGCTATGCCTCTGATTCCAGGATATTTTTTACTGGTTTGGTCATGGATTGTGATTTGTTATTCAATTATCTGTTATATTATGTAAAATATGTCATTAATAATTTTAATAATTTAATATGGCCAAATGAAAAAAATATTCATTAGTCAGATTACCTCCATCACACATTATTAATCATTATAGATCTAGATCTAGCTACGTTGGAATTTACGACGCTAAACGAAGGTTTTACTTAAAATTTACCTAGATCTACCTGTTATGATAAGTGTAGTAAGAGTACTGTTAATCATTATAATGGACTGTTAGTGTGTTACTGTTAATGTTATGGAATATTTATATTAATGAATATGATTTGATTTATGGATGTCCGTCTTTGGATGTCCGTCTTCGAGTAGCTGGGAACTTACTTTAGTTTACACAAAAATTAGCGTCATTTAGTACATTTAGGCCTATTTATACTTAGTTAGATATATTCTAGACTCTAGATCTATTTTTAATTTTATATCTATCTAGATCTAGATGAAGATCTAGATTCTAGATCACGAGTCTACTGTCTAGTCTCCAGATTTCCAATTTCTAGACCAGGCTTACGCTAGTTTAATGATGTAGATCTAAACTTCCTACGAATATTTTTTTAAAGTGATCTCCCTTGTTCTGAGCGTGCACAGTTACGAAATCTTATTAGGCCTAATCAAATTAGATCTAGAATCTAGATCTAGATTCTAAACAAGACATCTACTATACTCTAGGTCTAGAGAGATCTAGATCCGTAGTTGATTATCTAGTATTAAGAAATCTAGACTTAGAATCTAGATATAGATCTAGTTAAGATATCTAGATCTAGTATAGAATCTAGATAGGAATCTACATCTAGTCATCTAGTCTGGAATCTAGAATCTAGGCCTAACTTGATTAGGCGTAATAAGATCTCGTAACTGTGCACGCTGAGAAAAAAGGGAGATCACTTAAAAAATAACCGTAGAAGTTCCGATCTACTCAAAATTAGTATTGTAATACTAGAATTGTAGAATTAACTAGAATCTAGATCTAATCTAGACAAGTTAAGATCTATCAGCGTAGTCTCGTGTGTATCATCTAGATCTAGATCTACATCTCATCTAGGCTCAGGCTATGACATTTGAGTAGTTTTAAATTTGTTCCAGATTCTAGTGTTGTGTAATAAATAATATACTTACTAAAATCAGTCGTGAGTACAGTCAACTACTCAACTACTTCTATTCTAGAAATCTAGATCTAGATTATAAATAAATTAAATATAAACCTTAAACCTAGTCTAGTGCTAGTGATTACAAAAAACTAAAAATACAAGTCAATGCTTTAATTTTTTTTAGATGGCGAAGCCAGACATACACCATCACCAAGATTTATACAAGCAAGGTTTCGGTGACCTAACGACTATAAGATGCAATAGCAGGACAGCCATTAATGGTAATATTGAGTAATAAAATAGAATAATATATCTAGATCTAGAATCTTTTTGCAGCATATTATTGTATAATGAGTAGCGAGTATTAGACTGCCATGAATCACTGATGAATGCCATGAAAGATGTCCTAGATTTTACGTCTAAATCAGACTAAATCTAAATAATTCTAGATCTAGATTCTAGCTACTAGATTCTAGCTAGTTAGCTAGGCCTAGATCAATAATAATCTATAGATCTATATATAATTTATATAATATATAGGCCTATTTATTTAGGATTTATATATTTAATATTAGGCATTAGGCCTATAAAAGCCACTGCTATTAACTATTATTTACTATGTGTAGGCTAATGCCTGTAGTGGCTGTAGACTATAGATAGATCTAATATCGATCTATCTTGTAATTTCAATTTTTAAAAAAAATTAGGCCTAATGACTATGAAATAAAATATTTTAATATATATCTGATCTAGATGTCTTTATACTATGATAGTTTACTATGGCATGGTACAGTAGCTCACTGGGTTCCCTTTAATTCTAACCCTAGTAGTTCGGTGAGCCAGTCTTTGACTTTGGCACTCTTAGGAATTCAGTAGAGGTCAAGACACACCTAACTCAAAAGTCACATTTTATTTTTGGACGATTCTAGCCGGAACAAACTACACATGCGCAGTGGGGAAACAATATTGCTTCCATTTATTGCAATGTTTTCGATGTACTATGCATGCATATATTTAACCATATACCACACCCTAATCTTCCCTTACCAGAGTTTCTTTTAGGTATTTCTTCGGGAGTCCCACATCCCCTGGAGAAAATGGAATGATATATAAGTGCCTTTCTTATTTCCTCTATTGTTAACCACAAAAAACATGGCTCACTATCTATCTATAGTTTCAAGATATTCTGTTGAGCTTTTTATTAATAATTTTTATAGGCCTGATAACTAAACTTTATTTTATTTAAAGTTTATAAATATTATAATATAATTGTTATATCTATTTATTGATAATAGCCAATAAGAGGCCTACATTCTACAAATAGTTCTATAACAGGGGTCTAAAAAGTCAATTTATGACGTCTTCAAAATTTTGTCCACTTTCCACTAATGGGTAGTCCATAAATAAAGTCTTACTTTTTGGGGAGGGTAGGTAATTTTGTGACAATTACAATAAGAGTGGTTCAGATAGTGCAATGTTCAGTTTTTTTTAAAAACAAGAACACTATCGTCTTAATTTTACTTTTTGTATGCAGGAAAAGAATGTTGTTTCTTTTAAAATGTTAGCACGTGTATGTTAAGTTCAATGTGTAGACTCTAAAAGGAAGGTAAAAGTGTTATTTAAAAGATTAATGACCCCATATTTATTAATTAATTTATAGGTTAACAGAGCAGTTATAGTAGAGCTCTTCTGTTTTTTTGACCTTAGCATATAAAGAGATGTGTAGTTAATTCTAAATCTAGTCATGTTTATTATTCCTAACATAAGTTAGGCACCCATCAGAGCTAAGTGGACTCAAAGACAGATTTGAACCTGGTATCTAAACAGATTCTTTCTAGCAAGCATTCATCGGCTCGTATATATGACCCTATATAAACAAGTTATACCTATAACTTCTATAATCTCTATTTTTATATTGTGTAATCTATACCAAAACTGATTTTGTCACATGGAAATGGAAACAATAAGCCACCCTTCTAGAAGTCTAGATTAAGCCTAATGAAAATTTTCCTAATGTCAAAACTTTTGCATCTAGGTACCTTTAAAATTTTTGGAAAAACATACATGTGTGAATAAACATTTTCAAGAATGAAATACACGAAGAACAATTTGAGAGAAAACTTGGACTTCGAGTGTGTTGTCTGCCCCAGATCTGCTATTTTATAGTTTATGTGCGGCCCTCAGGCTGAAAAGTTTGGAGACCCCTGATCTAGAGGCACGAGACAGTTGACATGAAAATGACAACATTCAACTTTGATCCACATTATATCATACTAATCATCTGTGAATTTTTTCCACTGCATGAACACACACACACGCACGCATGCACACACACACACACGTGTATATATGTATATATATATGTATATATATATATATATGTATATATATATATATATATGTATGTATATATATATATATATATATATATATGTATATATATATATGTATATATATATATGTATATATATATGTATATATATATATGTATATATATATATGTATATATATATATGTATATATATATATGTATATATATATATGTATATATATATATGTATATATATATATGTATATATATATATATATATATATATATATATATATATATATATATATATATATATATATATATATATATATATATATATATATATATATATATATATATATATATATACAACGCCAGAATGGACAGTTGCCCAAATGGATAGAATGGACACTTGTCAGAATGGGAAAAATGCCAGAAAGCCACTTGGCTGAAAGTTAATTTCCTGAAAAAAAAATGTTAATATTATATATTACCAAGTAGACACTGTTGATAAATCGGAATTTTATATGTTAATGGATTTAATGGATTAAGTTAAATAAATTACATTTTTGTTTTTAGAATCACAGAAACAGCGACGTGAATGTCTGATGATCAGCAAAAGACTAAAAGTAGACACGTTAGAAGAAGCTGATTTGTTTCTTACAGATCAGGAAGAAAAAAGCACAGTAAATAGCTGAAATGATTATTTTGAAATCATATATATAGGCCTTTCTAAACAATAAGACTTGATGTATACATTTTTGTGGAAAATCTTGTAAAGTTAATACAGAATAATTAGTATGAAAAATATTTTATAAGAAAAATAATAGACTATTAATGTTATTGTATATATTTTTTTAAGATGGCCTAAAAGATGAAATTTTATTACATCATTTTTATAATTAATAATGTATAATTATTGAAGAAGTAAAACTATTTTAATGTTAATAAATTCAATATTTTAAAATTTAATTAATTTTAATTTTAACCTGAATAGTTTTGATTAAGTAGTCTTTCATTAAGAACACCATGCCTTCTTCTGACCACTTAACCCTCACCCCTAAAGACCTCTTTTATTGGTATGCAAAATTTGAATATTTACAATTTTTAGGCTAATTAATACTTAATTATTTAGGTTGAGAATGCAACAAAACTTCTCAAGCATGGAAAGAAACATGAAGGGCTTTCTACACTTCATAAAAGTTTTGCAAGAAATGTTAAAAATGCTGTAACATTTTTAAGGTAATACAGTCTTCATTAGTAGAATAATAATAATTTTTAAGTAAAAGAATTCAGGTAACAAAAAAAAAATAATTTTGCATTTCAATTAATCCTAGATAAATAATATGGAACTCATAAAAATTAAAATTGCGTATATTCATGAAATAAATAGATTTTTAATTTTTAAAAAAGTAAAACAGTAGAGCCTGTAAAAATATTGATATCTTCCTAAATGTTTTTCAGCTGTGGTGGCTTGAACGCTTTAAACACCTGCTTCATGTCTAGAGATGTAGAGGTTCTTCATGCTGCAGCTTGGTGTGCCATCAATTTAGCTGCTGCGGATTCCCATAGTGTCCCCAATGTAATCCGCCTCTCACCCATGTTAATTCAGTTTCTACAAGGTTCTGATATAGTAATGCAGGTACATAAAAAAATTATTGTAGCTTATTTTTTTCTTATATAGTAATGCAAGTACACTTCAAAAACATTTTAAACTTGTTAGGTCTATATTTTATTTTTATTGATATAGTAAAGCAGGTAGGCCTAAACTAAAATAATTCTTGTGTCTATAGTTTATTTCTTTTTATATAGTAATGCAAGTAAAGAACAAAAAAATGTTTGTGTGTATATATATATATATATATATATATATATATATATATATATATATATATATATATATATATATATATATACACATGTATGTATTTACATAAATACACATTTTTAAAGTTGGGCTGTTTTATATCATCTGCTAATAGCAATTAAGCTTTAAAAGAAATATTAAGAAACTGAACGCTCCAGTCCATGTTTTTTTTAGTAGGAGTTTAATTTGAAAAAGTTTTCATGTTACTGTGAGTAGTTCAGGTGCCACATACATATATTATACCCCTAGACAATGACTGCTAACACCTAACACAATGCAACCAATATGGAGGTGTTACATTAAAATAATACAGCTTATAACAGGCATCCACCGATCCCTTTTCCCCTTACTCTTTCCATGCATATATTATATCTATAACAAAATATCACTACATAATCTTATCTTAATACAGCCTATTATTATTTAACAATATCTTACTTTGGGCATGTGGTTTCTTTAGGAGTTGTGTGCGTGGGCCATTGCAAACCTAGCAGGTGATTCTCAAGCAAATATTACCAGATTGCGAGAGCAGGGCTGCATCTCTCATCTTGTTCATTTGATCAGCTCAGTAAGTGATTGTGTTGGTTTAATAAGAATTAATCAATAACTTTTATTATGTAATCATTCAAATGACATAAACAGAATTAGTCTGATAATTTGTAAAAATCAAATATTTAAGAAATAGTTCATTACAAATAATATTTTAAGTCTTTAATTAAAAAGAAAAATATTATCAATAACATTCTTACCGCTTGATTAACTGCAATTTTTTAGAGTTGGGATAAAGAACATGAATCCAGATCACAAAGTGTCCTCTTAGCCTTAATCAACTTAGCAAAGGATAAAACACATGCTTGTACATGGTGAGGTTTTTTTTTTCAACCTAATCTGATTGCCTACCTTTCTCTTTAAAGAACTATATTTAGTATTATTTGTTTAATAATATGTGTGTAGTTATTTTCCATGTTTTCATACTTTTTGTTATTTATTTTTACGGTTAAAATGTTTTTTTATGTAAATGTGGTAAATTAGTAGTTCTCTTAGATTTGATGATAGGACAAAAATGGATATGAAGTAGGTTTTTGTTTTTGTTTATAGCTATAGAATTTGTGATAGTTTGCACCCAGTAGATTCCGGCATTTATTTTTTCAATCTCATTCAGGCTATGGGAACTCAGAAAATAATTGAACAATTAGATATAAATTCCCTGTACGGCTTGTTCAACTTTAACCATTTTTCTTGTGTTTACTTTTAGCCTGATGCTTGACAACAGACTTTATACTACCATTCAAGCACTGCTACAGAGCAGCCGCTCTGTAAATAATTTAAGCTACGAAATTGGATGGTTGGTGTATAGTATATATTCCAGGTCAGTAAAATATGCTTTTATATTGGTGTGCAGTTAAGTACTGTTGAATGAATTTATTTTTTAAAGTTATATAGAGATATAGTATGCAAGTGAAGATTTAAAATTACCAGCCTAGATATCATATTGTACCACTCAATAAGTCATAATGTATCACTCAAAATGTTGTAATATACCAGTCAAGATATAATAATGTACCAGTCAAGATTTTACAATGTATCAGTTACGGTGCTATAATAGATCACTCAAGATGCTATAATGTGCCACATAGGATGATATAATATACCAGTTAAAATGTTATAATATACCAGTCAAGATATTATAATGTGCCAGTCAAGATGTTAGATTGTTATATTACAGTTTGATTTTTTTAAAAATATTTTGTAATAATTCTTTTATGATACCAAAAACTGTGTATTTTAAATGATTAATTTGGTATTTACACAAAATCAATTATCACTAGAATTCATGATATGTATCTCAAGTTTTATGAGACTATCTTCTATTTTATTAGCAGACAAGAAACATGGCTGAAATATGAATCCCATTACCCAATAATTTTGCACCTACTGATCAACAAACTTGCCCAGCTTCTTCAAGACGGGGAAAACAACCAAATAGATCAGGTCAGTTCTAGTTCATTTATACAAAGTACTAAGGCGAACACATTCAACAAATTAAGCTACTTGACAAAAAAAAATTTTTTAAATAGTTTGGTCAGATTTGTTTATTTTTCAGCCAAATATCACACTTAGATCTTACTGATAAATTACTAGCTCTTATCAAAATGCATGTACAGTTTTTATCCAGAGCTCCTTATCAGAATATGATTAGCTAACTCTAAAAGATTACATTATTTCTTTTTGTTCTATACCAATACTTTTTCTTAAGAAAATTCTCCTATTTCTCTTTTTTTCAATAAGGCAAATTACAACATTCTTCCATGCTTTTCTGTCCCTAGCTAATTTTGTTTTCAATTTCTTTGCAATAATTTTCATGTTTTTTTTTCAATTTCCCTATGCCAGGTGTTTTTGGGTCCTTTTCTTGTTTCTTCTTGGTCTCTTGATATGTCTGGTAATATTTGTAGCCAGTTTCCTCAACATATGGCCTATAAATCTCCACTGTTTCCTAATTTCTTGCTTCACTGAAATTTATCCTATCATTTTTTTATCATGTTGTGTCATATCACTTTATATTCAATTTCTTGTTGTTTATGAAAATTGCTATTGGAAATATAATAAAATCTGTGCTGTTAATCTGCTTGTGTTTTTTTAAACAATGGACCTTATTATTATTAATTCTTTTTTAAACAGTTTGAATATAACCAATTGATTATTTATTATTAAATGTGACCATTGTCTCAAGCTTGAATAAACCAAAGCCTGGTTTAAGAAAATCCTCAGTCATTATGATTGCTAATGTAACTTTAATTCTGAAAGTAGGTATGGATGGATAAATCTGTCTGGACATCATTTGCTAAAAACTATTCCGAATACCTATGGAGCAAAGCTTTGACAATATTTTGTTTTATATGATGTCGTAGAACATGGAGTTTATTATTAAAGCTGAATGTTTAACATCACTTGCAGTAGTCATGTTGTTTTTTTTAGATCATACTACCTTACCTGCGTTGCCTCGGCAACATCATTGGATTCAGCACTGAGCTGGCAATTTCAGCAAGCCAAAGTCTCCAATTTTATTCCAGTGTGAATTTATGTCTCTCTTGTGAAAATGAGCTAATAGTGTGTGAAACATTGTGGCTCCTTAAAAACTTTACAGGTATTGTTTTTTTATATATACTGGTTATGTCTAACAAAAATTTGAAAATTTTAAGAAAATGTTTTAAAAAATTTTGAGTTCTAAGGAAATATTTAACTTTACTTCACTTGTCCCATGGATGGTCAGGTTTGAATAAGGAACTTTAATTCTATTACAACCCAGTCAATACATTTTAATCCAAGTCATATTTTTTTTTAAATTGCCTTTTGATATTTGTATTTAAAAGATAGGGCTTATTCTTTTAAGTAAGGTGTGTAACCAACAGAAATTTATTTCCAAAACTATTTTTAAAACAATGGTTTCAGTGTCAGAGGTTGCTAAAAAAAAAACTTGTGCAGTTTCATTAACAAATTTCTTTTCAATGACTTTTACAGCTGATCCAAGCTGCAGATTGCTCATAGTATTTCAAACTAACATTTTTAAAGATATTCTTAAACTCTGTCAGCATTCTGACAAGGATATAGCCACAGAGGTAAGTGATGATGAAATGTATAGAATTAAAATGTAAAAAAATAACTTTTTATGATTTTAATAATTTGGTTGTTGATAACATTATAGCCATCAATATTCAAAGGCTGTTTTTTTTAACAGAATAAAAAGAAAATATTTATGCCTTATCATCAGATCAGATTTGTTTACTTTCAAATTCTTATTGTAAATCATACTATTTGTGGAATTGTCTGTATTTAACATGCCAATTTGTAGATAATACCCAAAAGTAGGGTCTTAAAATTTTTAAATTAAAGCACAGAAACAAAATCTACTGAAGATTGTCATTAGCCCAGACCAAAACTAATCATACCATTTGCTGATTTGTCCTTCCTCCTCTCTCTAACAATATTTCTGACTCTTGATGCCTACAATACGCTGAAATATCCTCAGAAGATATTTTATTTAAAACATGTTACAGAAATTTAGACTCACTATGAATGCCATACTCATGATTGAAAGAAGATATCATAATAATAGTAGTGAACTGGGTATTAATACCTCTTAACTTATAACCTATTACTGTTTGTATAATAGATTTTTAAATTGTTTTGTAAAAATATTTTTTAGTATTAACTTAATAATATTAATTAAACATGATGTAGTTTTCCAGTGAAACATCTGTAAACCAATATAACAGTTTATTTATTTTAAAGGGCACATAAAAATTAATAAACAGGGAAATGCATGTTGCATATAAACGTTCATTTTTTAAAACTAAATACATTTTATTTCAAGTTTCATTTTATTCAAAAATTATACAATTTTTTGGGCAATATTGGTTATTGATTTTCTGGCAAACAGCTTATGGGCAATCTCTGTAGACCCCCTAAAGTTATTACAAGTTAATACATAATTTTTTATGAGTATCATTTAAATAAACCGGAAGTGATCTCCCCTAAACTTTCTCGAAATATTCTTATATAAAATAACAGGGGATGGAAACTCGGGCTATAGACATGATTTTTAATCCATTTTAAATACTTAAAGTTTTAAAAATAGAATAAAATCTCGTAGACAAATTAATTGCACACCAAGTGAACGCAAATAAAAAAAGCGCATAATAGTGCGCAATATTATTAGTACTTTTAAAATTTACATTAGTTTTTTGAGAAATCGGAAGTAGCGTAAATTACTACTTCCAGTCAACGGAAATTACTCAAAATTTAACAGAAGGTAGAGAATTAGATCTTTTACTTACATGTGAAATTTCATTTATCTATCTGAAATAGTACTCAAGTTATAGGCTTTTAAAAAATTCAAAGTAGGAAAAGTACCACTTCCGGTTATCGGAAATCGCTCAAAAGTTGATACGGATCTACGATTTTGATAAAATACTTATATATGAAATTTCGTCAACCTAGCTGTAACGGTACTCAAGTTATCGTGTTTACACACGGACAGACACACACACAGACACACACACACACACAGACATACGGACAAGATTGCAAAATTATGTTTTTCCGTATCAGTGAGGGGTAAAAAGTCGAGATTTGTAAAAATCTCGATTTTTTTTTTTTGCACGATTACAATACTTTCTCTATACTACGTATATACGAGAAAGTAAAAAGGGATGGTGTGGTCAAAGGGTAGAGCATTTGGTTGCTAGTCCGATTGTCTCAAGTTCGGTTCTTGGTTCGGACTTTTGACTGTAGGAAGTCCTGAGTCCACCCAGCTCTGATTGGTACCTGACTTTCTTTAGGGAAAGTATAGGCGGCTGGGCATAATACTGACTACACCATGCTGAGGTCAAGTAACATGAACTCCATTTAATCCCCTATTTATCATTATTTTTAACTTCAGCATACATTTTAAAATTTCAGGCAGTTTATTTAGTAGATGCAGCAACGAAGATCTCGAAGCAGGTAAACAGTTACCTGGTCCAGCAAGGTATTATTCAGCACCTCCTGGCTCTCCTCAAGCTTAATAATGCACAAATGTATGAACTTTCATTGGGGATCTTAGTACATTTAATAGAAGACCCACAGGTGTGCAATAAATGTCTTTTGGTCTTTTAAAAGTTTTTTAAATGTCTTTTAGTCTTTTTAAATTTTTTAAAGAGATTTTTTTTTTTATTTTAGCGCTTTTTATTAGGCTTTTTTTACAATTAGCCACTGAGGAATTACATAATTTGTGATAATATTTATTTCAGGCAAAGAAAGAATTTGCTGCTGCCGATGGTGAATGTCTAATTTCTTCATTTACTGAAGGGTATGTGCAGGACAGCACAAGAGCCATGGCACACATATTGTTGGAAAAAGTTGCCAAAACTGTTGCTTGAAGTAGAAGGAAATTCAATGCTTAATTGAAATTAGTATTGAGGCACACAATAAAGTGGGTTGCTATTTTTCCATTAAACTAAAAGCTACCCGACATCTTTTATCAGTAATTTTTTTGTACTGAACTGACATCTATATTACATGAGTTTTTAAAATGTTTATTAAATTTAATACAAACAAAAAAGTTTTCCTTTTGGTTTAATATTGTTGAACACAATATCTTACTTTCACATTACCATTTCATATACATTATTCACATTAATAACATACAATTATAAATGCAGCTTTATTCCTAAATAACACTTTTAAAAAAATTACATACCTTATTCAGATGAATAAATTGCAATTTACACTTCTTAACATAATTCTTATATTTCAAAAGTGTAGAAAAAGATCATGTACATCATTCATACAAATCAAAATCTAATCTGGAGGAGTTGTAAAATTGTCCTTCACTCTTGTATTTGCGACAGAACACCCCATTGCCAAATGTACCCTCCTCTGCCCATGTGATCATTTGCGATGTGGTGAAGGGGCCTTTGATTTCTGAATCGTCTGTGTTTTCTGTTTTATACTCCCACAGAACTCCATTATTTTCTGTCTTTATCTCAGAATCTTTTTTTGTTGATGATGATGGAGATGCTGATGGCAGATAAGGTTCTAAAGAAGTATATCAATAGATGATTTAACTAATAACACATGCGCATATAAAATTAAAGTTTTTCGTTATTGTTGCTACTTAATCAGTTTATTATGTCTAATGTATCATCTATAAATGAGATCATACACGTGGAGAACTAGGAGTTAAGATTTTATTATAACAATGAGTTATATAGGGGAGTTTTGTAATAAGGCATTGTGGAAATAGATAACATTCTAAGTCAATGCCTGAGGTTTTAAATGGATCACTGCAAATTGCCTTAACAAAAAGAAACCAGTTATTTCCATGGCTTCTAGCAGATCAAAACACTCATTTATTCATTATTCTTTCAACAATACCATCAAATACAACTAATGAAAAATGAATATATTTCCAAGTCTCTACTTTATTTTTTACTTTGAAATTAAAATGGAAATTAATCACTTGTAAAAATAAAAAATAACCTTTAAATTCATCTGACGGTTTACTTTGCGTAGACTGTTCTCCCTGTGAATCACCATCTGTTACTTTGGCCTTCTTCCCTGCCTCCTTTGTATCAAAGTCCTCAGCAAACATGTCTAGAGCATCATCATCTTTCATAGATTCAGCTACTGTCAGTCTTGATGTCTATAAGAAAAAGAACATATCCCCGCAAGAATGTATTAATCATTTTGTATTTAAATTATACCAATTTCACCATCCAAGCCAAACAAGTTAATTTGTCAATTAATAATAATTTGCCTTTAATATTCTAGATTCTAGTTTTAAAATTTTAAATGTATTTTGTTACACTGCATGCATAAACTAAAATAGCAGAGATTCAAAGCGGGTGGTAAGACAAGATTTAGTTCACCTTATCTTTCAACTGTTTCAATGAAAAAGCGATCCTTTCATATGGTGTTTCATAGATCTCAATGAGTCCTTGCTGCACAAGCTGGTCAGATAACTCAGTTAGCCTCAACATTTCCTTCTGTTCTGCGACTGCACTATCTATAGCGTTTTGATCTTCATCTGATGCCTTAGACCCAGTTTTCAATTTTTTATTCTAGTTTAAAAGAAACAAAAGACATATCTTTAGTTTATATAGTACAAATAAAGTTATCATTTTAAAATTAAGCAGAGAAATTGCCTGCACAAAAATGTCATCAACTTTAATAGTGAAAGCCTAAAAGCAGCAAAAGTTAATGTTTTTCACAAGAGAAAAAAACGTCTTTTAGATTTATATTACAAATGACCGACAAAATTAATGCAGTCATTTTGGACAATAAACTTTTTTTTTTATTTTAACACCAAAAATTTTCATTTGGACAATTTATGTCTAACAATTGTTTTCACTTGAATGTTATGCAATAACTATATTTTCATTTATTTTAAAATTTATCTTGAGTGACTTTTTTCAAAAAAATTTCAAAAAAGTAAAAGAAAAATTCCAAACAAGTAAAATAAAAAAGGCCATACAATTAAATGAGTGGATAATAATAGCCTGGTTGTGCAAAGATCAAAAGACAACCATAATTATAATACTAATAAGTTTTTATTTTCATAAAGCAAAAATGATTGCTAAATCTAAGGATCTTTTATTTTTAAAACATTCATAAAAAATGTTTTAATAACAAGCTTTTATGTGGGTCACTTTATTATCTATTGGATACTTTTACTAATATTAAGGAACAGACCCAAGCTTTTCTTTATAGTTATATAAAATAGAAGTCATTTATTATATATTTAAAGAACATTATTTTCTACTTTTTAGTGCATTATTACATAAAAGCTTGTTATTAAAAAGTTTTTTATGAATTTTTACAAATTTTTTCTTCAGCACTTTACATTTTAAAATTTACAATAAAGTTGCATGACTAAAAACCATTGCGTAATTTATGAACGTGATAACGCGCATATAATAGTGCAGAACTGTTGGGTATGACAGCCTACTAATTTGGACACAATTTTAATTAATTCATAAAAATTAATTAGACGTCCAATTAATTCAAATTAAATGTCAGATTGCATTGTCTTCATATCTTGACCCAAATGCCTACTTTGAAACGAATCTGTCAGAAGTGCCAGAAAAACAGTTGACAGACAGAGAAAAGCAAATTAAATAAATACTAGTAAAAATGTATTTTTTAGGTTTGTGTTTCTATTTGTATTTGCGTTTCCTTTTGTGTTTTCTTTATGTTTGAGTTTGTTTTTGGATTTGTTTTCATTTGTGTTTTCTTTATGTTTGCGTTTGTATTTGCCTTTGTTATAATAACATGTTAACGTTGTTTTTGTTTTTTCTTATTGCGGTTGGTTGTGGTTAGGGTTAATTTGAAAAGTAACATATTTCCTAATTGCTGATTGCTAAACGCACAAGTCATGGTGCAGGGCCTGGCCAGGATGGCTAGTATCTATCTATATATATATAATTCTCTTCTGGGAGACGCTAGAAAACAAGCTATAAACGCGCTCCCTACCACCCCACATGGTCTGGTGAGCTGTGGTTCACTCTAAATGTTTACAAACAGAGCCGGGTTTAGTGACGACTATTAGGGGCAGATAATTTAGTTTGAAACGATTTTAAACGTAAGGTGGGGGGGGGGGGGGTAACTAAGTGGAGTTTACTTTAACGGAGAGGGGGGGGGGGTTATCGTCCTTAACGAGCTACTTATAGTGTTTTAAAGAAATATTTTCAGTGGCAGCATTGGTAGTGTCGAATTAACAAATTATGAATAACTGAAAAGTAGAAAAAACAACAACTAAATAACGGCGTATGATATGCCGCGGTTCGGCTCGTATATATATAATTCTCTTCATAGAGACCATAGAAAACACTATGCAGTTTAGCCACCTCATCCCCACCTGTCAGATGAGCTGTGGTTCATGACGAATGTTTAATGTAACCTATGGCTCATGCGATGCCTCAGATACTTGGGTGGTTGCCAAGATTTTCTACCTCACAGCATAGATAAAATCCTCTAAAAATATTGGGTCAGCCTTTTTTCTGAGACCGCACCAAGGCACAGGATGGGTATGCTAGTAATACAATAAAAGCGAAAAGAAAGTAAATTACCTTCCATTTTTGACTGGCAGAAGGAATCTTTGACTTGTTTTTGGCTAATCTTCTTATGGCTTTAGCCACAGTTTCTCCCTCATGTAGAATCTTGATAATTTCTTCATATGTTTGTATTGTGCTCGACTTTCTTTTCTCTTCATCACTCTCATCGTCAGAGTCATCACTATACTGAAATATGTAAATAAACTGATTTCACAGACAAATGGTTTGCTTTATTCACAACTGAGTTGCCAATCTCATTTCCCATTGCATGATTTTTAAAATGTGTATTTTCATTCACTTACAATTATTATAACCACAGATCATAAAACTAAAACTGAATGTATTGAAAAACTTTATTTCTTTTTTCAGCTGTTTATCATCAACATTTTATGAAGTATAAAGTTTAGGTATCTTTTTTTTCAAAAGTAAAACTGACGTGTCCGGTGTTAGGTTCAAATGTATTCAAAAGTTGCATTTATTCAATTTACTGCTAATTTTTTTTAGCTGGGAATTAGCACAGAAATTACAAGGAACAGCATGGTTTGATGGTACAGCACTTGACTGCTTACCCAATGGTCTTAAGTTAGATCTTGGTCTGGACTGAGTCCACCCAGCTCTAATGGGTACCTAAGTGACGTAAGGGAAAGCAAAGGCACACCAGCCCTGCATATACCTACTAGAAACATGAACTACTTCATGTGCGCTATGGATCATTATGTCTAAAAAAGGATCTTAACTATTTTAATACAGAAATTACATGTTCTAGCCCTTGTTTATTTACAAAACAATGCACTTGTTAAATAGATACCTCAAATGGCCGCTTTTTATTGGCGTCTTCTGGCTTAGTGTGCTTCACTTTGACCCAGTCAATATTGTCAATCCAATTGTCATGAATTTCCTGTTGGAATCAATAAAAGCTCAATTAATATGTGAATTTTCGTTTTAATATCTTTCTTCCCTGAAGGTATCCCTCATAGTTTTTAGAACTGTCATTAAGTTTGATTTCATACATAATTTAACAAAAAAATTCTTCCAAAAGAAGATGCAAAAACCCCTCTGGATATCAATATCAGCACTTTCAGATATTAATGAAGGATCCAATTCAATTTCAATGAATAAACAAAAAGCAAGTAAAGTCAAATAACTTTAGGGTTAGTTCTTTAAATGCAAATATCAATGTAAAAAAAAAGCTACTTAATATATAACCATACAATATCTAAACAGTAACTAAAAACTTGATTCCCCTAACCTTTGTCTTATCAAAAATGTAGGTTCCTTCTGTGTCAAAGTGTCCTTCTTCAAGCTCTTCTCGCATATTAAAAGGGGTAATCTGGATATTTTCATCAAATTCAACAGTAGCCTCTTCCTGACCTGTATCATTTAAAGTACAAGTTAAATTATGATTTTTAAAACAATTAATACATTTTGTATTAACTATTCCTATACCAGTGTATATATTCAGTGGTCTAATAAATGAGAAACTTGCACAGAGGGCACTTAACAATATCTGTTATAACTTTTCTGAACATGCAAGCTAGTAGACAACCTAAATGTATTTATGTAGATTTAGTTATTATCTAACAAATAAAACCATTATGATATTGATCAGTCAAGTTTTACTCTGATAATGATAAAAACTTTATAGCATGGTAAAACCGGACAAATGTCGGCCATTTTAATTTGGCATCAACAATCACTGCAGGAAAAAAATTCGCCAAAATAAAACTATTCTAGCCATAGTTATAAAAATGGTGTTAAAATGTACAGCAAGCAATGCTTTAATATAGGAACAAAGAATGGGCTTGAAAAACTCATTTGGTTTATTACAAAGTGAAGGTTCCTAAGTTATGTCTACTTGAAAAAAAAGTTCACAAAATGGTTTTATGGAGATGAGAAATTTAAGGGAAAGGGCAGTGGAATTAATTCCTGCTGGGCCAAGTGGGTCATACATTAGATAAAATAAATCCTCTGCTTCTCTGTTATCAAAGAACAGCAGTGGTTGTTATCTTAGAAGTAGAATAGTAGTTTTATTGGGGGTTTTGTGGGGGTGGGGTGCTGATTGGGTCCTAATACCACACAGCTCTTAGTGCCCTGCTTTACACTACTATTAAAGTAACTATTTATTAATTTAGTTATTAGTATTTAGCCATTGATTTAGGTTTATTATTCATTTATTTATAATATTTGACACAAATATATCACAATATACTTCTATTTAAGCCTTGACAATGAGGTAACTTTTTCGTACATTACTACAATACTAGCCGCGGGCAATTTTACGTACCTAAAATGATAGATTAACTAATTTTAAACTAATTTAACTTATAATAGAAATTGAATAGTAGGGTAAAACTCCATTTTAGCTTATTTTATTCGCCGCTTCACATTCACCTCCGGTTGAGCGTATTTTATTATAAACAAAACTAAAAAACACAAAAATGTTAGGAAAACACTAGGATTAGAACCATTATACTGAAATTGAGATGGCAGGACAAAGTGCCGAACTTGGAACTATGGAGGAAAGCTAGGCAGGAGCCTATAGGTGTGAAAATAAGAAGGAGGAAGTGGCGCTGGGTGGGTCACACACTGCGAAAGGCTCACACAAATGTTACACGCCAAGCTCTTGAGTGGAACCCCCAGGGAAAGCGGAAGAGAGGGCGCCCAAGACAGACCTGGAGGCGGAGTCTTCTTGAAGAACTGAAGCCAACAGGGATGTCTTGGGAGATGTCAAAATTAATAGCCGAGGATAGGAAGAAATGGAAGGAAATGGTGGAGGCCCTATGCTCCATAAGGAGCAAAGAGGACTAAGTTAAGGATTAGAACCATTAGTTGGTAGATATAGGCCTAGAGGCTTAGATCTACTTATTTTTTATGAATATGTTTTAATTAGAAAAAGTAAAAAATATTATTAATTATCCTTACAGTTCCAATTAAATAGTGTGTGATTGTTGGCGTGAGAAAAATCCCTACATGGTCAAGTGTTCACCGTGAGTTCACTTTGACTTTAATTATCCGAAGTGACTACTCGGAAAAAGATTTTTCGCCCTATTGTCTCCACTTGGTCGGCAAAAGATAGATTTGCGCATGCACAGTGACCTTAATACCTGAGCAAGAATTAGGGGTAGGGTTAGGGCTAGGGTTCTGCGGTTGTAAACAAACGCATGAGCAGTACGATAAAAAACATTGCTGTGAAAGTAAGTCGTAGTTTCACTCCATTGCGCATGTGTATCTTTTTCCGACTAGAATCGGCCTTAATTATCAGCATACGTCATAGCTTAGGGTCATTGTGAGTTCATGTAAGTTAATTTATAGTATCATGCCTTGCAGTTATGCGTTTCTACTTTACCTGTTGCCAGGAAAATCTTAACTGACAAGAACACATTTTCAAGAAAAAAAAAGTTAAATCTAGATCTAAATAAATAGTATAGGATTACTCGCTAACTTAGAGGCGTGGTCGGTTGCTAACAACAATATGACGTCCGGACCGGACCAATGACTTCCGACGATTTTTCTGCCTAATTCCAGAGACCTTCTACTAATTACTTTTAAAAATGTTTAGCACACGCAAAATGGTGGGATTTTCACGTTATAACAACAAGCTATAGGTGGCAGGGCTATATATGTCAGAAAAACATTTCAAAATTTGCGTTGGAGAATGAAGGCTAAATTTAAAGGATGTTTCATTAAAAATACTATAACTTTTTAAATATAAATTTCCATAGTACAAAATTGATTTCCATACTAAAGCATTATTAGGTTTATCAGTCTATGCAAAAATAAATCAAATATCATCAGCCCTTTTTTTATAAGACTGGCCAAAAAGATGACAACCAAATTTTTTTGGAAAAAAAACAAACCACGTGACCACTATTTGGTGATCACTAGTGAAGAACTCTTGTGCATAGCCAGTTAAAAAGTCTAACCGGACTCATGGCTTTTTGTAGCTTCAAACAAAATGGAGGTTGTCATGGAGAGGTGTGTCGTGCATGGCACTCAGTGACAATAAATATTTAATTAAGTAATTTAGTTTAAAACAAACTAGAAACTTCAAAATTAGTGCCTAATGGATTAAATATGGATGTCTATCATTCAGTGGTCATGTTTAAATTTAAAATTGGGTAGGCCCTAAATTTTAGATTTAGTAAGAAAATCTAAAATAGTAGGCCTACACATTCAATTTTATTTTTTCAAGTTTTGACAAAATTAATTTAAAAAACAAAACCAAAGATTTCCTAATGTTTTTTATATATTTAATTCTCTTCTTGGAGACCATAGAAAACACCAAGCTGTAAGCGCTCTCCCTACCACCCCCACCCCTACATGGTCTGGTGAGCTGTTCACGCTAAAATCTAAATGTTTAGAATCATAGAGCTGGGTTTAGTGACGGCTATTAGGGGCAGATAATTTAGTTTGAAACGATTTTAAACTTAGGGGAGATAACTTAGAGGAGGCTGCTTTCACGGGGGGGGGATAGGGGTTGGGGAAAGGAGGGGGGGGGGTTATTGTCCTTAACGAGCTACTGATAGTGTTAAAATGTTAAAAAGTTGCAGCATTGGTACTGTCGAATTCAAAATTATGAATTACTAAAAAGTAGAAAATAAAACAACTAGACAGTAGACTAAATTAGTAAATAGCGCAATATGATACGCCGCGGGTCGGCTCATACTTAATAAATAAAACGCTCAACTGGAGGTGAACGTGAATCGGGGAATAAAATACTACTTGAGTACTTAAAACTTAAAACTAAACTTTTGGTAAAACTCCATTTTAGCGTATTTTATTCCCAGCTTCACGTTCACCTCCAGTTGAGCGTATTTTATTATAAACACAACCGAAACACACAAAAACGTCAGGAAAACACTAGATCTAGATCTACTTATTTTTTTAAGAATGTGATTTTTAATTAGAAAAGGTTAAAAAAAAAACATAAAAAAGCATTAGAAGTGTTCCACTAATTTAATATCTTGTGATAGTCAGCGTGAGAAAAATCCTTACACGGTCGCAGGTTCACCATGAGTTCACAATGACTTTAATTATCAGCATACGTCATTGCTCGGGCAATAGCTGTTTTAAATTGTGTTGGCCTCAGTTTTGGGTTCATTGTAAGTTCATAAATACTTGTAACAATACAAACTTAACCGCCTTGCAATTGTGAGTTACGTTTACGTACTTCACCCATTGCCTTGAAAATTCTAACTGACACACGAACATAGTACATTCAACATTCTAAATTTGGATTTTTCTCAAGTTTTGACAAAAGTAAATTATTAAAAACTAAAACAAAGTCTGTCTCTTTGTTTTTTATTCATTTGTCAAAACAAAAAATACAATACAAATAAATAAATCGTGTTTTCCTAATGTTTTGGTGTGTTTCGGTTATTATAATAAAATACGCTCAACTGGAGGTAAACAAGCAACGGAGAATAAAATACGCTAAAATGGAGTTTTACCAAACTTTTTTATTTTTTACTAAACTAGCTTTACTAAACTTTACGGTAATCTATCGTTTTGGGTACGTAAAATCGCCCGCGACTAGTAATGTGAAAAACAGGTGACTCCTTAAATTTTAATAATTATTTCACATTTTGAGGAGGATTTGTGTTTTGAAAAATACAAAAATGTTTCCTTGTTTCATTTATGTACCTGTTTTCAAACAATTGAATTAAAACTTTTCAATAATAAATGAATACTAGCGATGTTTCCAACAGATGCAACCATGCTCATTTACTCTAGCAGCCATCTTGTTTAAGTTCTTTCTTTGTTAATTTATAGCGCGAGATCAGGGGAAGGCAACTCTATTTTACAAATGGCTGCTGTTTATATAGGAAATCCTGCTCGCAAACACTGCTGTTAAAAGTTAATTTCTTGCCTATATTGTAGGCCGTTTCTTGGCTTAGATGGCTGGATTGACCTCTGACCCTGAAACGTCACGCGTCGTTTTCTGACGGTTTTTACGTTTATTTTAGGGGTCCTATCCACGACAAATGAAAAACCTGTTAATCTCGCAATTTTTCATCATTATTTTAATGCAAAATGCTAATAAAATGGATAATATGCCTTAGAATGCCAGAAAAAATCGAGATATTTGTTGTTGTAAATAATGAGAGGATTTCTAGTGGAGCGCTCTCCGTAAAAACTGAACCGCCGCTAAAAACGACCGACCTCCGGGGAAAACGGCCCGACAGACTCTAAGTTATTATATAATTGAGATATTTACCTTGTATATTTACATTATTATTGATTCTGGTTTCCAAAATCTTATCCCAAAATGAGGTACCCACGCTGACATTTCTATCCGCTATTTTTAGTATCATGACGTCATTGCTACGCTAGTTGCCAGACTGAAACAACTAGTTTTTGTTTTTTACGGAATGAACTGTTAAGTCTAGTATTTTAATTATAATTCAATTGTAGCATGTGCGGAAAAAGTAAAATTATGGACATTATTATTGTATTAGTAATTTTATTAGTATATTGATTTTTTCTTCACTGTGGGCCGACAGTTGCTGCATTCGTGACCGGTGGTTAACCTCGTCAACGCTGCGTGGCCTATTCGTTTATATAAATCAGTGATGCTCGTTCAGTGGCCTTTTTCAGAGCTAGGCCTAATTACGGGCGATTTTAGACTTAATTGAGCCTTTTTCATTGCTGCATATTTTAAAAAATGCTCGTTCAGCGGCCTTTTTTTTTTTTTGGCGCTAAATAATCTGTTTTTGGGCATTTTAAGCGTTTATTTATTTATTTTTTTAAGCTAGACGTAGATCTAGTTAAAAAAAAATAAATTTATACAGCTGGCTGTCTAGCATGTCTGATATGTGAACTTTAAAAAAAAATGACCGAACTTTAAAAAAAAAATGACCAGAAGTAGGGAAGTAGGTCTGTTTTTTAATTTGCTTGAAGAAGGGGGGGAGGGGGGGGGGAGAGAAGTGAAGACACCGACCATCTCGTGTACGCGTGTTCATTCTATGACGTGTACTGAACTCACGGTGAACCCGCGACCGTAGTGGGATTTTTCATCCACAGGATAGTAAACATAAGCAAGCAATCACGCGAGTGACGATGTTTGGAGATTTTTAAAAGAAAAAAAAATAACATACGTCATGTCTTCAAAATGAAAAAAAAAAATGTAATGTAAGAAAAAAAAAAGACACTAATACCATGTATGAACCTCAGCTGCCACACTGTTGACTCAATATAATCATCCCCATAATGTGAATTGAGTGTAAAATGTATTTGTATTTATAAACTATCTTAACTATTACTATCATATTATTTTAAGCATATTTATTATTTAAAATTAGAATTTGAAATAAAAATATTTATTATGGCCATTTGATTTTTGCAGGTGTTCTTTACTTCATAAAATGGTATGAATAACATGTAGAATAGAATTTAATAAATAATAAAATAACTAGATCTAGTTTTAATTATCAACCAGTTGCTTTTTGTTATTTTCCGGTGAGTAAATAACCTAAGCTGACGCAATTACCATGGCGGGAATTAAAAGCTCGTGGACACAAGTCCACGACGTCATGTTATGCCGGTCGAGGAGTAAGAACGCTGTTTTGTCGTTCATTTTCCATTCTCGGATAATTTTCAAATTCTCTCTTTTCTCGTCAACCGAGTAAGCTAGATATTTAAATGTGGTGTCAAATGTTCTCTTAAGGGGTAAGGAACTTAATGGTGTATTTGAAATAACATAATGTTTTATTTTAAAAAATCCATAATTCAACCTACTATATTGATATATTTAGCTATTGATTTAGGTTATTTATTCATTTATCTATAATATTTGACACAAATATATCAAAATATACTTCTATTAAAGCCTTGACAATGAGGTAACTTTTTCGTACATTACTAGCCGCGGGCGATTTTACGTACCCAAAACGATAGATTACCAACTTTACTTACCTTCAATGTCATCTTCAGCTAATACGTCGTACTTTGTGTTATCATCTTCTTCATCACTATCTAATGAGTGTTTTTCTTTAAAGCGAGTTGCTTTGTCCTGAATTTGATTTTCTCCTGTGCTAGCCATTATCGTTGTTAGATTCTAGATTTCTACACCTCAACGCGATTTCTTTGGTGTTTCTTTACCCCGGTAAGATCAGTTAAGAGTTATTTACCTTTCCTTGGTCACGGTTCCGTATTTTTTTTTTTAATGTTGCGCGTTAACGTGGAAATAAAGAATTATATTTAATTATAATGTTTTTTGTTGGCTATGACATTGTTCTGATTCTGTAGAACACACTTTACACACACACAGCATCGAAATCGAATGTTGCTTTACTCTCTATTATGAATCGATTGTTTAGGGGTCGTCCATAAATGACGTCACATTCGTAGGGGGAGTGGGGGTCCGTAATTTTGTGACCGTGTATGATTGGGGGGGGGGGGGGGGGGGGGTCCAGATGGTTAACGTCACACTTTTGCATTATAAAAAAAAGCAATGTTAGAAATGTTAGAAAACGAATTTTAGCCGTTATTTCACGTTTTAGAAAACTGTTTGAATAAATTGTAATAGGAATTGATTAAAATACTCTTATTATATTGACAGAGTTCAGACAAGAATTTGGTAAAATATCGTATTTTAAGAAAAATTCAACTGCAGTTTTGAGGGGGGGGGGGGTTGTAGGCTGAGATGTTGCGTAATTATTATATTTTTTTGGGGGGGGGGGGGCTGGCTTTTTGTGTGATGGAGGGGGGAGGTTAAAATCGTCAAAAAAAGCGTGACGACATTTATGGATGACCCCTTAGCTCAAAGTCATTGATCAGTAGCGAACTAGAAAAAAAGCCCCCCCCCCCCCCCCCCCCCCCACGAAAAATTTTTTGACCCTTTTTTCCATCTGGTACACGAATAAATCAGAGGTTTTCCAACACGTGAGCTGGTCCCTCAGTTTTCCAAAAGAGAAGCACGGATTCATCAAATGTACAACACACCAAACTGGCTTCCACCCCCTCTACACATCAATTTTTTAATGAGGTTTTCATCTAAAAGTTACCAATCGTGTATTTTTAGACCTGTGTCCTGTTTTCCAGACGTTTAATTAGATGTGAACAATGTCGGCAGTTCATTTCTTGAATCTTAGATGTTGGGGCGCGGCTTTGTCCACACTACCAACGAGACACACCAATACTAATAAGTCGGGGGGCTCTTAATTTTGAGATATATACCGGGGACACACAATAAGTGGATCTAATGTGCAGATAGCCACTGAGGATTTCGGGTCGCTAAATCACATATTTCCGTGGGGCGTCACCCATCCGATATGTAAACAAATATCAGTCCTGTGACAGAAACCTATGCTCGGGGCTGTACTCAACAGTTTCCCAACTTTTCATGGCGATCGGATACATGATGTACAGTATAAAAGACAGAAACATGTTTTCACATGTACAACTGTATGCAGCTCACGAGCAGAGGCGTAGCTAGGGGAGGGCGGGGAGGGCGGCCGCCCCGGGCGCCGACCCTAGGGGGGCGCCAAAAGGGGTAGAAAAAAAATTTAAAAGCTCATTTTAAGCTTCAGTTTTAAATAATAAACAGTCAAAGTACAGAAATTTAACGGCTGAGAGCCTTTGCATACTGATTTAACTGTTTTCCACCTTGATTGTGTAACTGTAAAACATATATCCTTAAGAAAAAGTGACCGGAAAAACCGCTTTCCAGCTTTCCTAGATGGGGGGGGGGCGTTTTTTCGAAGACTAAAATCGGAAAAATTCACTCCGGATTAAGGAATAAATAACCGATATTACTCAGAAAAGAAACCCTTTGAACAAAAGCGTATTTTACGATTGTGTTACTTAAAAAAAAGTTGACAAAATCCGATCGTGAATCATATGAGTCGGCTGTGTGTCTTGACCTACGCGGAAGCCCTGAGACTGAAAATACCGAGCCTCTTTTTTTCTTCCACTTTCCCCATGGACTTAACACAAGCACCTGCATAGTGATGTTATTTTTTGTCTTCCTCATATTGTGTCCTAACCACCACCTTTTCATTCTCCACTGTCTTTAACCTAGCTCCGAGCCGTACAGTAAAAGATACATCATATTCAGCTATAGATCCTGATTGAATTTTTTTGACAATGCATTTGAATTCCACATGGACTTAGAATGTTAATACGCATTTTATCTCTGCTGATTCTATTTCGAACGTCATGAGCTTCAGCTATTATCATTAAACCGGTTATTACAGCTTCTTCAACCAGTACAATTAACTCTGAATTTGTTGTTGACTGTGTGTGAGAAGGCAGCGCACATCTGATAAATCCAAGACTTCGAGCTGTTGTGTCCGTTGGATTCCAGTTTGTTTCCTCTTGCTTGTTTCTTTATACAATCAACCAGTCAACGAAATACCCATGTCGTATTCCAATGTGAACAATACTTTTGCTATTGTATGTCAATTGTATGACCTTAATCTAACAAACTTATAATCCAAATATGTACTAGATCTATATCATAACAGAGACTGTTCCAAAGATAAAACATAAAAAGACTGTCCTAAACAAATTAGCTTCGCTACAATTTTTTTTCTGACTTTACTAATCATCATTTTTAAAGGATAATCCATCTTAAGGGGAATTTAATTGGCGTCGAGTACAGTTTTAGGGAACGAAAATCATGCAGCGTAATTATTTTTTTTCCAGACTGCCGCACATACACACATACATACACACACACACACTGACACACACACACACACACACACACACACACACACACACACACACACACACATATATATATATATATATATATATATATATATATATATATATATATATATATATATATATATATATATATATATATATATATGGCCTTTATGGGGAGGGCGCCAAACTGAAAGTTCGCCCCGGGCGCCGGGAGGGGTCGCTACGCCTCTGCTCACGAGCCGGATAACCTTCTGATTTAGGTGGGTTAAATGACGTCACTTTTTAACGACTTAAAAAAACAACCCAGACCCTCACACGCCGCAGCCCCCCCCTCCCCCTCCCCAAATGTCGCCATTTATGAAGCGTATTGACTATTAATAATGTTCAATTAATTATAAACGTTCTAATTAATTTCTAAACAATTTATAAAAAAAAAAAATCTTACCTTGATCCATATTTTGTGAATTAGATACTACGCAAGTAAATATCTGCTGACTATTGATATATTTAAGTTAAATTGTAGCGAAAGAGATTGACACTTAGGGTTACCGCATGACACCCAACCTAGTGACGCCATGGTTTAGACCGCTTTATCTAGATCTAGATTTAGAAAAAGTATCGCAGGGCCTTGTCAAAAGAATAATGGGGTCGGCGTGGTCGAGTCGGTAAAGCTCATGGTTGCTAAACCGAAAAGTCTCGAGTTCGAACCCCCGGGCAGATGAGGCTCGTTAGCTGGGGACAGCCACTCTTCTAGGAGAGACAACTCCAAAATTAAACAACTGCTGCCTTGTAGTTTGTTCTTGGTTGGACAAAGGCTATGGAAGCAAATCCAAAAAGAAAAGCAGGCTGAAATCGGAGTCAATGGCCTCAATGGCGCATAACCAGTTGACACGTAACGCTTAATTGTGTTGGAGGCGTGGTTGAGTCGGCTAAAAAACGCTCATGGTTGATAAATTTGAATAAAGTCTCGAGTTCAAACGCACTGGCAGATATTTCTCGATCCCCTTCAACACTAATAATTAAGAACGAAGAAGAAGAGAAAGAAAAGAATAATGAACGATTCGCGTTTACAAATAGCCCATGATCACATAAAGAACTTTTGTAAGTTTCTTAACTTAGATTATTTCTTAACGGTTCCCAGAAAGATGCGCAACGGAAAAAAAATGCGCAACCAGAAAAAAGCGCAAACAGAAAAAAATCATTATCTAAAATTGCTTTTTTATAATGCACAAGTTTGACGTCACACCATCTGACCCCCTCCCCCTCACCACACACTTAACACAACGCCCGATAAAGACAAGTTGAAAAGTCGCAAATTTCCGAAGTGGTATCTGAAAATCCTATTTTAAATGGTGGTTTTGTTCATAAAGCACAGTGACGTTGATGCACGGTTCATTTTTTGCAATAGTAAATAGAATATAGATCTAGATCTACCTAGAATCTAGATCTATGCTTTAAGTTCGAAAAAAAAAATCATATTTAGACTTAGACCAGATCTAGAATCTAGATCTAATTTCTCATAGACTTAGTAAATTATTATGAAGGGGTCGGTGAATGCACAAATGAAGCTGGTTCGGTACCTTCAAAAAGGTTAGGCCTAATCTTTATATATATATAGGCCTATATATATATATATATATATATATATATATATATATATATATATATATATATATATATATATATATATATATATATATATATATATATAATTCTCTTCTGGGAGCCGTAAGAAAACAAGCTGCAGGCGCCTCCTTGCAGTCCCCTCTCTTTCTCTCTATCACTATCACTACCACCCCCACCCCACCCCGTCTGGTGAGCTGTGGTCACGCTGTTTACATTTTACAATCATACAGACGGGTTTGGTGACGGCTATTAGGGGCAGATAATTTAGTTTGAAACGATTTTAAACTTAGAGGAGATAACTAAGAGGAGGCTGCTTTCACGTGGGGGGGGGGGGGTGGAAGGGGGGTTTAGTGTTTTTAAGCAAATATTTTCAGTGGCAGCATTGGTACTGTCGAATTCACAAATTATAAATAACTGAAAAGTAGAAAAAAACAACTAAATAGCGGCGTATGATACGCAGCGGGTCGGCTCGTATATATATAATTCTCTTCTTGGAGACCTTAGAAAACAAGCTGTAAGCGCGCCTTGCAATCCCCTCTCTTCCTCTCTATCGCTACCACCCCCACATTGTCTGGTGAGCTGTGGTTCACGCTAAATGTTTACTGTCGTAGAGCCGGGTTTAGTGACGGCTATTAGGAGCAGATAATTTAGTTTGAAACGATTTTAAACTTAGAGGAGGTAACTAAGAGGAGGCTGCTTTCACGGGATGGGGGGGGGGGGGGGGTGGGTAGGGGTTGGGGGAAAGGATCAGGGTTTTAGTGTTTTAAAGTAAATATTTTTAGTGGCAGCATCAGTACTGTCGAATTCACAAATTATGACTTACTGAAAAATAGGAATTAAACTAAATAGCGGCGTATGCTACGTCGCGGGTCAGCTCGTTATTATAATTATTAATAATTAAGAACTACTGGTTTTGGTTTTGAGATCTATAAATAGATTCTAGCCCTATTCTCGAGTACTGAAGTTTAAAGATAGTCCAAGTCTTCTTGGATGCATTCAGATTCTTGGTATCGTAGTAGATTCAAGTTGCAGTTGCTAGTTAGAATCTAGTTACTAGTAGTTAGGCCTCAGTAAGTAAGTTCATAGAGCCATAGCCTTGTCTTAGGACTAGACTACATTCGGACTAAATCAATGATAATTTAATTTTAATCTACGCTGGTACGTTTAGTAGGCCTACTAGACTCTCTACATATATTTAAATAAAAAAATATAGAATCTAGATCTAGATTCTAATCTAAATCTGTTACTGAACTGTGAGTTACTGTGTGTTCAATTTTTTTTTTTAGGCCTTATACTTAATTAATTATTACTTAGGGTAGGCCTAATGACAAGTGATGAATTAGACTTTAGTAGACACTTCTTAGATTAGATTTTTTTAGATCTAGATCTAGATAATAAGATATCTAGATTCTAGTAGTTAGTGTAGACTGCCTAGAGTGAGTACTGAGTAGTTTTAGTTACTACTTTAGTGTTTAGACTACTAGATCTAACTAGAGAATCTAGTTGTAGTAGTCAAGTCAATTAGATCTAGATATCTAGTATTAAAAGTATTAGATAGTAGATAGAATCTAGGCTTATACTTTATTTGGATGATATTTCGAGTCGTCCCTTTGAATCCTGGTCAGAATGGTCTCCCGACATTTAGGCTTACGACAAATTGACTCCTGACATATTCTTGTCTCATATAGGACATGCTGGCTCCTGACAAATCGGCCCCTGATATAAGGGCTCCCAACAAATGGGCTCACGACAAACGGGCTCACAATATATTGGCTCCCTGGCCCTTTTGATGGGGTCAATTTGAGGGGGCTCTCATGTCGGGGCCGTTTTGTCATTCACCATTTTGACACAGCATATTATTTTACTTTTAGTCACCTACCAGTAACATTACACATCTTTTTAAGATTCTATCATCGGACACTGGAGTAAAATACTTCCCCCCCAATTGATCTAGATCTACAAAACTACAATGGAACGAGAACAGTGTTTCTTTTCAGGCATCTCTACCGCCTCTTCCCCCCCCCCCCCTGAAGGAAATGGAATTTATTAATTAAAATAATATAGGATACTTTCAACACCCAGAATTTTTTAAGTCATCTCCCCCCCCCCCCCCATGCAAAAGTTTTAAGTGGCCCCCTCTCCCTAGAAGAAAGTTTGAAACAAATAACAAATGAATGGACATCAACAAAACAACAGAATAAATACTTTTTGGACAGTATATAGAGTCAACCCTTTGAATCCCCAGCGGCATGCCTCAACCAACCTGCGCAGGCTTTTTGAATTGAGTTAATTATAAACTCAAAACAATTATTTAAACAATCTCATTTAAATCAGTCAGGCCACATGCATAGTGTTGTGTGTCATGCCTTAACCAAAATAACCCTTCATTATTATTAGCAACAATTAATATATCAGCTAATTGATTAAATTATGAGTACATTTCCAGTCAGATGTTATAGCAGTAGGCCTATAATTTTTAAATTACTTCTAATTAATTATTAATTACTTGGCTGTACTCACGATATAACTTAAATGTGTTTTCAAATGTTTTTATGCTAACGGGATCTGGACGTATTAGGCTACTTTTGCATGGTACATCTACATTTTTTAAAATTTTGTAATGAGTAGCCTAGTCCTGCATTAAACTAGAATTTAGGACTGTTCTCAATAACAATGAAAATAATGAATAGCCAGCTTCAAACTGTGATTTCCTATATTATCACTACTAGAAGTATAGCTCTGTTGTTTAAATAACTCCACCCTCCTCCCCTCACGTAGTTAAATATAAAATTACGCTTTTAACCCCGTTAGGGTGTGTGAACTATTGATGACTTCATTATTTTAAAAAAAACTATTCTGGTGTTATATTCTCTTCTCCCACTGGCATCATGTAACTTTGGAGCCATAAACAACACCAGGATTAGCCGGTGTATTTCGTGCAAATTTACTCAAAACACTGGAACACACTACATTTATTGAGGATTAAAGCTGCAAAACTTACATAGAGTGGATTTATTCTTTAGTTGAGAAGAATTTTGAGTGTTTAACTTAGTTTAACTTACGTTAAGGCTACTTTTTTATTTATTTTCATCAAGACTAAATTATAACCTGCCATTTCACCTTATAGACAAGCATTGATTGGCTGTACAGAAACTCCATGGTTGATCTTCTGTGAACTGCACTTTGTAGTAATTTGACTATTTGTACTCAAAACTTTGCCAATAAATAAAGTTATACTTTATAATCACTTGACCTAGATCTAGTTATGCGACATTTTAATAATATGTTTAAAACCAAATACTTAATAGAAACAGTAAAAAATCTAAATATTTAACCAAAAGTAGATTTAATATGCCAAATGTGTGAACCATTTCTGCATCATAAAAATATTTTTAATTTTTTTTTCTAAAAATTATCTCTAACCTAATGATTTTTTTTCTGCCTCTATACTATCTGCACTATTAGGCCTAAATCTTTTTTATAGCACAACATTTAATTTTGCTGCTACGGATAACAATATTCAAACTGGTAGGTATAGCTTGAAAGCTTAGCTTTTAAAAATATTGCATCATCCGTTAAATTGCCAACTTTTAATAAATAAAACACTTTTAATAGTTTTATTTTATATTGGTTTCTGAAACCCGGCAGCTTTTAAATAATCAATGTTCAGGTGTTTAGTTTTCTATACAAAATGTAGTCAGCCAACCAGTCAACCCCAAACTTTGACTTTAATTAATTAAATGCAGCGGTTTCTCCAGGTTGGGTGTCACCTGGTGCAATATGTTTAACTTTGGGCCCGGAAGTATTTTTAGGCAATGGATTAATAGCACATATATATTGTTAAGTTTCAATTTTTATATTAATATAAGTAAAGGAATAGGCTTCGACCTAGATCCGAGCCAGGATTTTAATTTAAACATAAGATTACTCATTTGAAGTATTAGTTTTTAGTTTAAAGAAAAATTTTAGGCCTACATTTTTGTTTATGTAAGTTGTTTGCATTTTTTGTTGTTGTAATTTTAGTTTAGTTGTAGGTAAGGGAGGTGTGTTGGTTTAAGGTTTCTGAATATCTTTTGGTTTATTTTCAAATGCCTTTATTTTGGTTGTAAGAAAGCAATTAGAATTAGGTTAGCATGCTGTTTTTGTTTTGAGCATCATTTTTTTTTTTCCAGCGCTTATGATTGTTTTAATATGTAAATCTGTCTTTCTTTAAAATTTACATTCACTGTTGAGCTTGCATTTAAAGTTGGACATACATACCATACTAATGGCATCTCTATATCTGTATTTATATCTATTTCTTCACCTTCAATGCTAATTGAGTTTAACTTCAAACAAGAGCAATATATATATAAGCTCTTTTTTTGTATGAAATGTTGTGTCAAATTGCAGTATAGAGCAGTCACTAATTTTTTATGAAAATTGTAAGCAAACATCTCTTTTTTTTTTGCTTTTTAAAATTTTGTATTTAATTTGTATGAATTAAGGGTTGTATTTTAAAATTTTGAAGTTTTGTTTTTCAATGAGAACCATTGATATTCTCTTTTAAAATATTAAACACGCACCTTGAACTTTCCATAAACATCCATTCATGTTTAGTATAAAAAAAATTTGCACTTCAATTGAATAGTGAAAGAAGCATTGTCCAACATAATTAAAGTATTAAAAAAAAAAGTTTTATTGCACATTTCCCATGTCTTAAAAATGTTTCAGCCTTGCTTGTAAGTAGCTGCTACACAGCTGAAGCATCAAAAACTCCAGGGTGTCACTGGACAAAACAAGCAGTAAGGAAGAAAAAATGCAAAAAAATATTCAAGATGGAAAAGGTAAACAAAAAACTGACTCCCAACTTACAAAACGTAGATGACACTCGTATTTGTATCACTGTTTTAACCCTTAGCTTGTCACAAAAAGGATTAACAGACTGTGTTTAAGGCTAGACATTAAGGAAGTATGTTTTCTGAAACAGTATGAGCGGCAACAAAAAGAGAAAAATATTCAGAAGTTTTGTAGGCGGAAGGATTGATACAAACCATATTTTATTTAGTTTTGAGCTTCATCAAAAGTAAGAAATTAATTGTGGAGTCATATAGGATTATGGGACCAGTCATTCAGGAATGTTACAAACTATATTTAATGTAAATAGTTTTATATTGCATTTAATAACAAAAAGCTAGATATGATAGAAATCATGCAAAATGATAGTTACAAGTGTGTTTCAAGTAGCAACTGAAGTACGCAGGCATTTAAAAACGTACATACTTCACCATAAAGGAACGAGGAGTTGAAGGAGTCTAATATTGCAAAACAGACACTAAAGGGAAGCAAACATTCTAATTTTACACAGACTACGACAAAAGGAAGCAAGGAGTCTAATATTATACAAATGGCATCAAAAAGTAGTAATCATTCTAATATTACAAAATTGACACCAAAGGGAAGCAAGAATTCTGATTTTACACAGACTACAACAAAAGGAAGCAAGGAGTCTAATATCACACAAATATCACCAAAGGGTAGCAATGATTCTAACATTACAAAATTGACACCAAAGGGAAGCAAGAATTCTGATTTTACACAGACTACAACAAAAGGAAGCAAGGAGTCTAATATCACACAAATATCACCAAAGGGTAGCAATGATTCTAACATTTTTACAAAATTGACACCAAAGGGAAGCAAGAATTCTGATTTTACACAGACTACAACAAAAGGAAGCAAGGAGTCTAATATCACACAAATATCACCAAAGGGTAGCAATGATTCTAACATTTTTACAAAATTGACACCAAAGGGAAGCAAGAATTCTGATTTTACACAGACTACAACAAAAGGAAGCAAGGAGTCTAATATCACACAAATATCACCAAAGGGTAGCAATGATTCTAACATTTTTACAAAATTGACACCAAAGGGAAGCAAGAATTCTGATTTTACACAGACTACAACAAAAGGAAGCAAGGAGTCTAATATCACACAAATATCACCAAAGGGTAGCAATGATTCTAACATTTTTACAAAATTGACACCAAAGGGAAGCAAGAATTCTGATTTTACACAGACTACAACAAAAGGAAGCAAGGAGTCTAATATCACACAAATATCACCAAAGGGTAGCAATGATTCTAACATTTTTACAAAATTGACACCAAAGGGAAGCAAGAATTCTGATTTTACACAGACTACGA